TCTTATCTTCCCACTACCCATTCTTGTCTCCCCTACCCATTCTTGTTCCCCCACTCCTGCTGATCTCATTACCCATTCTTGTCCAAATTCCTGCTGATCCCCCATTACCATTCTTGTCCCTCAACTTCTGATGACCCCATTACCCATTCTTCTCCCCCCACTACTGCTGATCCCCACCACCCATTCTTGTCCCCCCACTCCTGATGATCCCCCCATTAACCATTCTTGTCCCCCAACTCCTACTGACCCCCCACTACCCATTCTTGTCCTCCCACTCCTGATGATCCCTTTCTCTTCCCAACTGGTCCCCTTCTTTTTTTTTTGTCGTCTTTTTGAGATAGGGTTTCCTTATAGCCCCAGCTGGCCTAGAACTCACTATGTAGACCAGCCTGGCCTTGAACTCACAGAGATCTGCCTGCCTCTGCCTGGGACTAAAAGCATGCGCCACCACGCCCAGCCGGTCCCCTTCTACTTTCAAGCCTCCTTCCTCGACCTGATGAGTTTCATTAGGGTGCTTACAGGAGCGTGGGTGAGCGGTTTATATAACCACAGGCACCTTATCAGTGGCTATGCCACTGAAGAAAATGTCACTCCTTCTATCGACCACTAACTGCCTACAGACCCCAGGAGGGCTGGAGCCTTGTAAACCCCTCCCCCTAGGATGTTCATTTCTAAAACGTAATGAATTTTGTTTTTTTTTCCTGTCACATTATTCTATTCATCTCTATCTTTAAAAGTTAAGCTAAGGGTATTTTCTCCATTTGTCTAGAAAGATCTACTGTATTTGTGTATTCTAGAACTTGTCTTCACCAAAAAGACTAACAAGCCAAGACAACAATATTTAACAAAGTTCAAAGTAATCAGCCTATGGACAAGCCTAGAATAAAATTTAAAAGAGTATCAAACAGTCCATCAGAGCTGAAAAGGTGATCGGGGTTTTAGAAAAAGGAAATCTAGTGCCATGAACTTCTCATTGGTGACTACCAATATTAGAACCAATTTTTTAAAAAAGTCCCAGTTGGGTGTGGTGGCACATGCCTTTGATTTTAGTATTTGGGAGTTAGAAGCAGGCAGATCTCTGTGAGACTGAAGCCAGGCTGGTGCACATAAAAAGTTCTAGGTCAGTTGGGGCTACAGGGTGACCCTGTCTCAACAAAAACCAAATAACAACAACAAAAATAACAAGGCTCAAATATTTGCTCCAATTCCCTAATAAAAGCCATACATTTTGTTCCAGTGAGTTAAAGTTAAGACTATAAACTTGAACTTCAAATTTATGACTATTCCTCAGAAACCAGTAGGAAAACCAATCAAGCCATTAAGCACTTTAGTTCCAGAGGAGTGGGTGTGGAAAGGGGAGAGGCTACAGAAATAAGCACTGCTACTTCTCACTTACACACTTCCAGGATAGGTGATATTTTTCTGAGAGTGTACTGATTTACTAACAAAACAAAACCACCCAGGCCTCAGGTTTAACCCCCAGTATTGAAACCAAGATAAACAAAAAAACCTACCCACACAACCCCCCGCCCCAAACAAACAAGACTAAGAAGCAATGTGAGAAGACAATATTTACATATCTCAGATCCAATTTTAAAACAGACATTTCCAACAGTGCTTGGTGGTACATGCCTTTAATCCCAGCACTCTGGAGTTCTGTGAGAGCAAGGCCAGCCTGGTCTACATAAAAAGTTCCAGGTCAGCCCATCATGGTGGCGCATGCCTTTAATCCCAGCACTCAGGAAGCAGAGGCAGGCAGATCTCTGTGAGTTCAAGGCCAGCCTGGTCTACATAGTGAGTTCCAGGACAGCTGGGGCTACAGGGAGACCCTGTCTCAAAAAGACCAAAAAAAAAAGTTCCAGGCCAGCTCTGGCTATAGGGAGACCCTGTCTAAAAAATGAAACAAAACAAAAGCAAATACTGAGCAAACAAAAATACTTTTTTTCAATAAAGAAGTATAAAAGCTTTTTATATATTATTCTAAAAATGAAGCTTCTTTGTTCTACAGCAAAAAACAAAAGTAGAACATGAAATACACCTCACTGATGTCCATGAGGATCTATAAACTAGCCCAGAATGGAGCAGCTCCCAAGTCTCAATGCTTACCCAACAGCGGTAATTCTGCATCAGATTCAGCCTCACAGCCTGAATGCTGCCATCATAACAGCCAGTGTAAATCTGGAGAAAGACGTTCAAAATATCAGACTAAAATATACACAGTTAAAAAACAGCTCCATAGTACCAGAATGGGAAAGTAATTTCTAGATCTTGACACAGTGTCCTTAGAGCAACTCTTGAGGGTGTGACTCAGAGCAAGGCTGGCAGGGCTCAAAGGTTCCACTTATTCTTTACTGGGATAGCTCTGGCTTTTAAATGTCTGTATTTTATTGCAAGAAAGGGTTCTACTACTCAAGAGCTTCAAAACATTCACCCTTCTACAACATCACAATTAAACAAAACAAAAACACTTTAATGTTAAGTGAGTTGGCTAGAATTATGCCACACTGCCCAAATCTGATTTTGCTCTAGCCCTCTGTTCAGAGGATGTCTCTGGAAAATGGATCAGTCTTTTTTTGAAGCATCTTAAATATAGCTTCCATTTAACAGGGAGAATGGACTGGAAATGGAATGTTCAAAATGCTTTTGGGCACTCCTTAACAATCATGACAAGAATAGGCATTCAATAGCGAGGCCTATCAGAATCAATGTCAGTAACACTGATTTTTTGGACTTTAACTATGTAGACCAGGCTGGCTTTGAACTCACAAAGATCCGCCTGCCTCTGCCTCCCCAGTGCTGGGATTAAAGGCGTGTGCCACCATGCCCGGCTACACACTGATTTTTAAGTAAACACATTCCAAGGCATCTGACAAAGCACTAATACCTACCATGCTCTTATGGATCGTCATACACATAATCATGTCTGTGTGTCCACCATAAACTTGCAGTCGATCATGGGACTTAGGCAGAAGAAAAAAAAAGAATGAAGTCAAGGAAAGACTTGATAAATTACACACGAACACCAACATCCAACATCTTTATGATCAAAGTCTCAGAACACAAACCACAAGTAGAACTGGACAGATTTAAGAGGCCGGGAATGGCCAGACGTGGTTGCATACACCTTTAATCTAGCACTGGGAGGCAGAGGCAGGCGGATCTCATTGGGAATTCCAGGCCAGCTGAGGCTACAGAGAGATCCAGTCTAAAAAATAGCAAAAAAGTAAAAATAAAAAAAGACCTGGATTGCTCTCCAGAAAGCAAGTTTTGCCAGGCGTGGTGGAACATGTCTCTAACCCCCGAATTTGGGAGGTGAAGGCAAGAGGATCAGGTATTTAAAGATATCCTCAGCCACACTGCTAGTGTGAGCCAGTCTGGGCGACCAGGCCCTATCTCTGTCCCTGCCCACCTATCTAACCCACTTGTCCCCCAAAAGAAAACAAAAAAGGTAATAAGAAACTATATCAGTTTTGATCCCCATAAGCCTGAGCAAACATCTCAGAAAGGGGTGTTGTGTTTCTGAATGCGACCCTTGGCCTAGTCATTTCGAAAAGATTTAGAATGATTGTGAAAGTGCAGATTCTTGGGTTCCACCCAACCTCACTTCATCAACAATCAACACCACATCTAAACAATCTTCTCAAATCATTCAAGCAGAATATATTAGATCTTAATTTACCTGTAACTCATAGACACGAACAAATTTATCCAGGCAAGCAGTCACCATCACTTTTCCTAGGATATTCACCACAGTCACTGCATGATTGTGACCTTTATAGATACGCACGAGCTCACCAGTCTACATCAGGAGAGAGATAACAGCCAAAAGATGACTTTGAAGACTCTACCCTTTGATTCATGATTCTATAGTTCTAAGGGAAAATTCTGAGGCTACCTATAAATATATGTAGCTGTTCTGGAGTACTCACTCATACAAGCATTTACTATCTATACAAATATATGAAATATATCCTCAGAAGGAAAAGAACTTTACAGAAAGGGAAGGGCCTCAATTGTACTGGTATATATTTTACGTTTTATACATTTTTAAAAATTTTATTTTGTGTATCTGCGTGGGAGCACATGCCATGGCACACACACTGGAGGTCTGAGGACAACTTGCGAAAGTCAGTTCTCTCATTCTACCATGTGATTTCTGGGGATCGAATTTAGGTTGTCAGGCTTGCTGGTGAGCGCCTGTATCTGCTGAGCCATCTCATCAGCCCCTGAATTTTATAATTTTTTGAAAGAATAGATTGAGTATCCTTAATCCAAAAATCCGAAATGTTGGGGTTGGGGATTTAGCTCAGTGGTAGAGGGCTTGCCTAACAAGTGCAAGGCCTTGGGTTTGGTCCTCAGCTCCAAGGGAAAAAAAATAAAAAAAGACAAAATAACAAAAATCTGAAATGCTCTCAAATCTCTAAGTTTTGAACATAGACATCAATTATAAGCAAAAAATTCTACATTTGTGTCAAATCACAGTCAAAACAGACACACTAAAAATATAAAACCATCTTCAGGTTGTATATATATGAAACAAATAAATTTTTTATTTAGACTTGAGTCCCATCCCCGAGGCATCTCACTGTATAGATACAAATTTGTCCAAACCTGAAATAATAAATGATATTCAACAGCTATTTTCACTTTTATCATTTCATGGGATCTGGGCAACAAATCCATCTGGACTAAACTCAAGTTTACAGACCAGGAACTAAGCTCCTGAGCTGCCTCTATGACCCGAGTATAGTCCCTCAGTTGTTTCCATTTGTTCTATTTTATTTATTTATTTATTTATTTATTATTATTATTTTAAACCAGGCTGACCTTGAACTCAAGAGATCTGTCTGCCTCTACCTCCCGAGTACTGGGATTAAAGGCATATGCTACCACACCCAACTTCTTTTTAAAAAATATTTTATTTATCATTTTTATTTTATGTGTATGAGTCTTCTGCCTACATGTATGTAAGTGCACCACATGCATACAATGCCTGCAGAGGTCAGAAGAGGGTGTTGGATCCCCTGGAACTGAAGTTACAGATGGTTGATAGCCACCATGTGGGTGCTGGGAATAGAACCTGCATCCTCTAGAAAACAGCAAGTGTTCTTAACCACTGAGCCATCTCTCCAGCCCCCTTGTTTTATTTTAAAACATATCTTTCTGAGAGCTACAGCTTTCAGTTTAAATGAGGCATTCAAATGAAGTTTTACATGAACCTCAAGTCTTTCCCTGATTAATTTCTTTGATGTGGTCAGGATTTCCAGGTTGTGCAATACTATCTAAGAACACGTGCACACAACATAGGGGTTATTATTATCCTTTACTAGATAAAGGGCTTGATGGAAATTGCAAGAAGTCTGAGCTCTAGCTGCCACTTTACCCCAAACTCCTTTCTATTACACCAACACAACTTACATGGATGTTGTGAGCGTGGACTGACTGATCACTGGAGCCACTGAACACAAGGTCATTCACCACCTTAAAGAAAAATACTGAATTAGGTTTTGTATAAGATTCTCTGATTCCTCTGTAACTTGTAACACATACTGGTGAATTTGAGTTTCATCCAGTTCTGAGATCAACACAAACCAGGTATAAAATAACATTCCAAGACAAACTTTACAATCTGAAACTTAGGCCCTACCATCAGGCACTCTGATTACTGCTCAAATATTGATAGGTTTGTGGCCTCCACAGACTGAGTATGAACCACCCTAGAAGGGCATCAAAGTATCCCCAGGCCTACAATAAGACACATTTGCTTCTTGTTAGCATTATTGAAAAACAGTATGTCCCTTTGTGACCTAGGCATGAATACAAGGACTTTGCCCTTTACAAAATATATGTTCTATATAATGCATTGAACAGAGAAAAAGCCATTCAAACCCTTCTATTTGTGCCAAACAACAAGTATCTCTTATACTATACTTGCCTTCATGCAAAGAATGGTTTTGCTATGACCCTCCAGAGTTCTGAGGAGTAGTCCATTCCGTGCATCACGAACACTAATGGTACAGTCATAAGATCCTACGACCAGCAGCTTTCTGGCACCTTCCTGAGCTGTGGCAAGACAGCTGACTGCCCGAGGGCCATGGCATTCAAAGATCTCTAGTCGTTTGTTGTTCTGAAAACAAATCACCATAATATAAGATAAAAGCAATTTAGCAAGAAAACTTCAAAAATAACTAACCAAACTTGCTACAAACTCTCAAATGTACTATCCACACTGAAATTCCCATACCCATAACAAATCCTGAACTCCCAACCCCTGCCATCCCAACTCCACTCGGACTCCAGTTCTCTCTGCTATTTATGACCTCTGTCCTTCCCTGATCTAGTAGAGGTAAACTCTTACATAATAAATTATAACCTCAACTCAAACTATTCTGGATCCTAATATGAAATTGATTCCAGTATATTTTCCACACCACAGACCTGGGAACTCTTCCACTGTTGTCTTTATTTTTTTGAGACAGTCTCCTTGTAGCCCCAGCTGGCCTGGAACTAGCTATATAGACCAGGCTAGCCTTGAACTCATAGAAATTCACCTGTCTCTGTTGGGATTAAAAGCGTGCATGCACCACCATGCTTATGTGTACAAGTGTACTGCCTGCATGTATGTAAGTGCACCCATGTTGTGCAATGCCTGTGGAGGTCAGAAGCGGGACTCGGATTCCCCTGGAGCTGGAGTTACAGACGATTGTTGGCCACCACGAAACTTGGGTCTTCTACAAGAGCATCCAGTGCTCTTAACCGCTGAGCTATCTCTCCATTCCTTATCTTTGTTTTTTTTAATTTATTATTTCTATATTATGTGTATAAGCGCACTTATGTCATACAATGCTTGAGGAGGTCAGAAGAGGGTGTCAGATCCCCTGGAACTGGAGTTACAGATGATTGTTAGTTGCCATGTGGGTATTTGGAACTAAACCCAAGCCCTTTGCAGGAGCAGCCAGTGCTCTTAACCACTGAATCATCTCTCCAGCCCCATCTTTGTTTTTTTGTTTTTGTTTTTCGGTCTTTTTGAGATACGGTCTCCCCGTAGCCCCAGCTGTCCTGGAACTCAGTATGAAGACCAGGCTGGCCTCGAACTCACAGAGATCTGCCTGCCTCTGCCTCCTGAGTGCTGGAATTAAAGGCATTATGCCACCACTCCCGGCCCCCATCTTTGTTTTTTTGAAACGGGGTCTTGTTATGCAACCCAGCCTAGCCTTGAACTCACTAGGTAGCCCAGGATGATCTCAAGCATGCAGAAATCCTCCCGCCTCAGCATTCCCAGTGTTGTGATTACAGGCATGCACCACTATGCCCAGCTTCCTCATTGTTGTCATTCAAAATATATGGCATCTGTCACACTAGTTTCAAAAATATCTGAGAGCAACCTTCCTAAACAATTTTGTTTTAGATTGATTTTTATTTATATGTTTATCTGTGTCTATGTGGTGATATGCCATGTGTATACAGGTGCCTGTAGAGGCCAAAAGAAGGAATTTTATAGGTTTTTAAAAAGCAGAAACTAGAACATACTTTATTGCATTCCTTATACTAGTTCCAGTTAGCACGTAACACAAAGACAATACTGTGACAGAAACATTCTACCTAGAGGATCGGGGAATATGGGCTACAACTAGTAAAACTCACCAAATTCCCTTTTTAGGCTATATCTGTCATGCATTTCCCTTCCTTCATCCTTAGTCTAGCCTTTCATGTCAGCTTCCCACAAATCCTCCTGCTTCTAATATCAGTCTTTCCCAATCTCATCAGTTATATAGTGACTTTCTAGAATACAAATGTCTCTAACAAGCCTACTACTTGATGAAACATATAAGGCCATCAAGAACTTCTTAACCTTAGCCTGTACAATGGTTAGTCAATTATACACAACCTAGAATCACTTGGGAAGATAGTCTCGATGAGGCTTGTCAGGTTGGTCTGCAGGTATGTCTGTTAAAGACATAATCTTCATCTTGAATGCTATAACTGAAGTGGAAAGACCCACCCATTGTAGACATCATTCCTGGGTTTGGGTCCTAGACTATGTAAGTGTAGTGAGGGAGCTGGGCACAAGAAAAGCATGCATGCACTTTCTGCTTCTGACTATGAAGCAGCTGGCTGCTGTAAGTTCCTGCCTTCGCTTCCCCAAAATGAAGGACTATAACCTGGAATCCTAAGCCAAGTAAACCCTTTCTCCCAAATTGCTTTTAGTCAGGGTATTTTATGATGGCAACAGAAAGGAAACTAGGATACCCTGGGGCCCAGCATAAGAAAGATGGTTAATAGCTTGCTCACCAAATGAATTTATCTTTGAGTTGGGAAAAAAAAATGAGGCCACGTCGTAGTTAAAGGTTTCTCTGACTGATTCACTGTAAACAGGCCAACCTTATGAAAACCCCAATCAGTTCCCAACTATATCAATGTCATGTATCAGGAATTCAGATTCATTTTTCATTGTGTCATTCTTATAATGATAGACTGGCTTAACCTGTGACTCACTATTTGGCCCACATCTTTAGGCTTGGTTTAATTTAGTAGAGCTGTATTTTGGTTTTGGCACTTGTGAGTCAGAGTAGACAAAATCGAGAATTAATTTCACTTGCACTAGAAGAGAGCAGTTTTGAATAAAGACTAGTTCTGCTCTTTCCTCTCACAAGAAGGGAGCGATGTCTGCCTGCTATTTCCCACTACTCATACTCTTTCTATTTTTAGAGGGTAGGGGAATTCGGCCTACTCTCCCAGGCACTAACCTTTATGTTGAAGGTGACTACAGTACCGTTTGCCAGCCCAGCATAGAGGATTCGCCATCTATTATGAAGGCAGAGAACCCGGTCTTCCAGCTGTAACTGCTCCACACATTCTCGGGTCTGAAAAAGCAAACAAGCCCTAATCAGCAGAGGACCCAGGAAAATGAGATGTGAGAACAATTACTCCCCAAAACAGTTTAAAATGACTTGAAAAGAAGAAAATGCAGCACCCTTGATTTTGTAGAGGGCTATCTTAGATCTCTTTCTTCTTTGAAATATAAGGTCAAGATCCCCAGCCTGTGGGCTATATTGAAAAAAGAAAATGAATTCTAGTAACGATACCTGTATTTCTAATTAAAAACATAGAGATTCTTCAAAGGGCACTATGAGTTGAGTCTTAGCTTCTTAAATGAACAGAGATAAAGGATAAAGCTACATCTGAAAGGCTGGTGATGTAGCTCAGTTGATAGAATGCTTGCCTAGCATGTATGAGGCTCTGGGTTCAATCTCCAGTACCACATAAACTGGACATGTTGGTACATGCCTGTGATCTCAGCAGTCAGGAGGTGGAAGGAGGATCAGAAGCTACAAGCTCATGTTCAAGGTCATCTTTGGCTATGTAGTGAATTTGACATCAGCCTAGGACAACTGAGATTCTAACTCAAAGCAACAACAAAATAATGGGGTGGAGAGAGTACTCCACCAACACCTGGTTCTTTTTATTATAATTCTGCTGTGAGGTTTCACTTTTCATTCTAGATACTGGTAATTATTTATCTTCTGCCATTTGATCAATTTAAAGGTTTATCTTTCTTATTTATCTTTTTTTTTTTTTTTTTTTTTTTTTTTTTTTTTGTGTGTGTGTGTGTGTATGTTGCATGCAGGTGTGTGTGCATGTACATCTACCTCTTCTGCAATGGTCCCTGAGCTGTGGATGGATGAGTTTTTTAAAAATCTTTTTTAAAAAAATATTTTTTATTTATTATTATTTTTAAAAGTTTTTATTTCTCTTTTTTTATTTTATGTGCATGCGTGTATTGCCTGCATGTAGGTAAGTGCACCCGTGTCATGTCCAGCAATGCCCAAGGAGGTCAGAAGAGGCTGTTGGATCCCCTGGGACTGGAGTCACGGACAGTTGTTAGCTACCATGTGGGTGCTGGGATACAAACCCGGGTCTTTTGCAAAAACAGTGTTCTTAACCTCTGAGCAATCTCTCCAACCCTCATTTATCTTTTCTAAGAACTATATTCTTGTTTGTTTATTTTTACGGTTGTTTTTGTTTTTTTGAGACAAGGTGTCCCTGTAACCCAGGCTGGCCTTGATCTCAGAGATCTACCTACCTCTGCCTCCCAAGTGCTGGACTAAAGATGGCATGTACCTTATTTGCTTTCCCTTCCTTCTTCCTTCTTTCCTTTTTCTAAGCAGTTGAGGCTGGCTTTGAATTCCTGACTATTCTACCATACCTCCCAAGTGTTGGGATTATAAATTTGTGCCACCATGCCTGCCTGGCTTCCTTGTATTATTCTTTTAGTGACTGTTCTAGGGCAGTCTTAGGAAAGTCCCTAGACCATCAGGGCCAGCATCGCATGGTAACTTGGTACTAATGTAAATTTTTGAGCTCATTCCAAACTTATTAATCAGAAACTATGGAACAGAGACCAGTAATATGTGTTTTAACAAGCTTTCTAGACAAATCTGATGCACAATAAAGTTGTGAAACAGTGCTATAAGGACTACATCTCCAGTGAACAATTTAGTTCAATACTGGCTCATATTCAGTACAATATAAGACTATTACACTAGCAGAGTTTCATTCCCTCCTCTACCATATGCTACTATTATGTATGTTGCAAATATATTTGTTATTAATATAAACCTAATAATATATTTTATCTTTTGTTGGGGGGGGTAGAGGACAACCATGGGCAGTATCACCCTTCCCGCTTTTTCTGGTCTTTTTGAGACCTGTAGCCACAGCTGGCCTGGAACTTACCATAAAGACCAGGCTGACCTCGATCTCACAGAGATCTGCCTACCTTGCCTGTGCTTAAAGATGTGTGCCACCATGCCTGGCTTAATATCCACCTTTAAAGTTTAATTTTATTTTTATCTTATGTATATGAGTATTATGCCTGCATATATGTAAGTGCACCCGTGTCGTGCAGTGCTTGTGAAGAACAGAAGAGGGAGTCAGATCCCCTGGAACTGAAGTTACAGTTGGTTGATGGTTGTTAGCCACCATGTGGGTGCTGGAATTCAAACATGGGTCTTCTGCAAGGGCAGCCAGTGCTCTTAACTGCTAAGCCATCTCTCTAGTCCTTTTGTTTTTGTTTTTGTTTTTGGTCTTTTTGAGACAGGGTCTCCCTGTAGCCCCAGCTGTCCTAGAACTCACTATGTAGACCAGGCTGGCCTTGAACTCACAGAGATCCACCTGCCTCTGCCTCACAAGTGCTGGGATTAAAGGTGTGCTCTCCTCCCTGCTAGTCCTCCTTTTTTATACCTGCCTTTTAAAAAGTCAAACCTGGAACTGGCTAAGTACATTAGGTTGGCTAGCCAGAAAGCTCTAGGGATCTGCCTGTCTCCCCCTCAGCAGCAGTGAGATTACAAGCATGCACCACCACAATCTTTTCTTCTTCTATATTAATTTATTTTGTGCGTGCGTGCGTGCGTGCGTGCGTGTGTGTGTGTGTGTGTGTGTGTGTGTGTGTGTGTGTGTGTGTGTGAGAATGTGCCATAGCGCATATGTATAGAGGTCAGAGGACTACTTACAGGAGTCAGTTCTCTCCTTCTGTCATGTAGGGCTCATGAATCTGAACTCAGGTCATCAGATTTTGTCAGTAATTGCATTTAACAACTAAGCCATTGTACAAGGCCCCCATGTTCAGCCTTTTTCTTTTTTCTTTGGTGGTACTAGGGATTCGAACCTAGCACCTTGTGTACTGTAGGCAAGAACTCAGGTCCTCCTGGAAGGCAAATACTTTACTGACTGATCTAGCTCCACAGTCCCATAAAGTTATGTTTTATTTATTTATTTATTTATTATTATTATTAATAGGGTTTTTTTGTAATCCCAACTGACCCAGAACTCTATGTAGGCCAGGCTGACCTCAGTCTCATAGAGATCCACCTTGGTCTTTTTGAGACAGGGTCTCCCTGTAGCCCCAGCTGACCTGGAACTCAAACTCACAGAGATCCGCCTGCCTCTGCTTCCTAAGTGCTGGGATTAAAGGTGTGCACCACCATGCCCAGCTAAAGTTATCTTTTAAAGAAATTAAGAGGGGGACCAGTGAGAGGGCTCAGTTGGTAAAGTGCCTGTGGCCAATCATGATGACCTGAGTTCCATCCCTGGAACCCACGTGGCAGAAAGAGAGAACTGACTCCCACAAGTTGTCCTCCCATTTTCACACATACGCTGTGGCTTGTTCATACCAATTGATAAACATAATAAAAAGTAAATTAAAAAAATTAATTGAGAGACCTAGGGAGGTGTAATATCAGAACTGGGAAAGCAGAAGCAAAAAAGATAGCAGTTTGACACCAGTCCAGGCTATATAGCAAGACCTATCTCAAAAGCATTAAGAAAAGCCGGGCATGGTAGTACATGCCTTTTAGTCCCAGCACTTAGGAGGCAGAGCCAGGCAGATCTCTTTGAGTTCCAGGCTAGCTGGGGCTACAGAAAAACTCTATCTCAAAAAGACCAAAAATAAAAAAAAAAACAACAAAAAACCCATATATATATATATATGTATACATAGAATATAAATATTACCTATAATATATATAAAAGAAAGTACTATACATAAATTTATGGGTGTGCTAGGGTTTGAACCCAATGACTTGCACACACTAGGCGATTACTCAACTGGACATAGTGTACATAATATTATAATACAATTTCCTCATTTCTTTCAATATATTTAGGTTAAAAATTTTTCTAAGAGGAGATCTATTTCTAATTCTAAAGGTTTAAAAAAATTTAAACATTTTGGGCAAGTAAAGATGGCTGAGTAGGTAAAGGCTCAATCTTCAGAGCCCACGTGGCAGAAGGAGAGAACTCACACAGTGGCACACACACCCAAAATAAGTAAATAAAAGTAACTTAAAAATTATTGTATAGCCGGGTGTGGCACACGCCTTGAATCCCAGCACTCAGGAGGCAAAGGCAGGCAGATCTCTGTGAGTTCAAGGCCAGCCTGGTCTACATAGTGAGTCCCAGGACAGCTGGGGCTACAGGGAGACCCTGTCTCAAAAAGACCAAAAAAAAAAGAAGTACATTAGCCGGGCATGGTGGTGCATGCCTGTAGTCCCAGCACTTGGGAGGCAGAGGCAGGCGGATCTCTGTGAGTTCAAGGCCAGCCTGGTCTACATAGTGAGTTCCAGGACAGCTGGGGCTACAGGGAGACACTGCTTCAAAAAAAAAAATTTATTGTATCTAGGATTAATTTTGGCATATCATATGAAAATAAGAGTATTTGTGAGAAACACCAAGGGGAGCTATAGTATTATAGTTTGAAATTTAAAAATACTGGTAAAGAAACAGAAAAAATGGTTATTCTAAATCTCCTATCTACCTAGGCTATGTGTGTGCAAATGTTCAGAAGCAGAAAAGAGAAGGTAAGACGGGCAGAATGAGGCACTGCTACAATTCCTGCCATTCTACCAAGTAAATACAAAAGTGAGTTTGGTTTCTCTAGAGTAACCTACCTTAACATTATAGCAGCAAATGGTGTGATCACTGGAACCAGTGTAAAGGACTGAGTTCTTCCCAGAGGTGTGAGTGACCAGGAGGCAATTCACTTTGGAAGTATGACCCTCAAAGACACCAATACACTTCCGACTCTAAAGTCAAGCAAAGATCAGATTACTTACAGGATGTAGAAGGGTTAGACAATGCCTTTTCTCACCAAGACTTTTAGTTCTCTGTGATATGAGCCCCTAAAATACTGCCTGGTGCACAGAATGTTTTCAGTAATACTTATTCACTGAAAGTCCAGCAAAGTCACATGCACTGAGGCACCTGCAGCTAACTATATATTACTAAGTGATACCAAAATATATTTGGGGAAATTCACTATGAGGCAGGGGAGCATTTTAATTAATGCCTAGGTCAAGTTTTTCTAATATATGGACCAAAGGACCTAGCAAATCTAAACTGCTGTTAATTACTCAGAGAAGTTATGCATTTGATTAGCTTATAAGAATGCTCAAAAATTTTTTAAATGTCAGGTATGAGTACAAGCCCTAGTAGCCCAGGAGTGGTTTTCTAAGAACTACTGTCTACATGTTGCCTCTACATGTACATACACCAATATCTATTTAGAATACGCATATATACACATATCTTACAACTTACCTGAGCAAATAGATTTTTCCAAAAAGAATTTTTACTTTTATTTTCTGGAGACAGTCTAATGTAGCCTAAGCTGACTTCAAACTCACTATGTGTAAGAAGTCAGCCTTGAACTCCTGATCCTCCTGCTTCTACTTCCCAAGTGCTGAGATTGCAGGCATAAGCCACCATACCCATCTTTGATCTTACAGATCTTCTGCAGATACTGCCTCATACCACTGCCTCCCACTCCCCATTCCTGACACTCCTATCACTACACTCTATACCTATTGCCTATGGTAAGCACATCTTGGTTCATCACCTAACTTTCAATTTTTTACCGGCTCGAATAACTTTGCATACTTTTAAGGTGTTTGTTCAGAAAACATACATAGTGTTTCTGAAGTTTCCTGGTTATCATTGTTGAAAAACAGAATTAGTTTTGATATAAAATCAAACCTTGAAAGTTTGTTGTTTTGAGAGTAAGTAGCATCAAGTTACACTAAGTGTGAGGTAGTGAGTGGGAAGGTGCTACTTACCTTAAGAACAGATTTTATAATCAGTTACCAGAGAAAAATTCTTCCTCTAACACTTTCCAGTATTCATGTTGTCCTTCCTCTGTTATGTATGTAGTGGCTAAGTAACTGCTCCCTTGCTAACTTCAGAGATGGGGCCTGGCTACCCTAACCTATCGTTATGATCCTATCCCCTTTGCCACATATGTTTGCTCAGCGAATAAAGCACAGGACTCTTTCTGGCGGCAAGAGGAAAAGAAACCCTAAAGGTACCTCACAGAACTATACTTTATGAAAATATGACAGAGAAGGCAGAGTTGAGAGAAAAAAAGAAGTGTCTACTGGGGTCGGGCATAGTAGCACAAGCAAGAGGCAGGCAAATCTCTGAGTTCAAGGCCAGCCTGGTCTACCTAGTGAGTTCCAGGACAGCTGGTGCTACAGGGAGACCCTGTCTCAAAAAAAAAAAAAAAAAAAAAAAAAAAAAAAAAAATAATAATAATAATAATAAAAATGAAGTGTCTAGCAATCCAGCTGATTGGAGAACCAACTATATCTAGGATCAGTCTAAACCCTAGGAAAGCCAGTATGCTCACGCTCTCTTTATTGCTAAAGAGAACATAACCAAGTTCTAAAGTGCGTAACCAAGAACATTCAAAATGTTACACTCACCACCAGATGATAAACTCGGACAGTTGTGTCTGCTGAACAAGTATATAGTAAGTTTCCAAATATTTGAATTGCATTCACTGCAGCCTGGTGGCCCTCAAAACTTCCTTCTGTGGGTTCTTCATCATCTCCTGGCTCCGAAGATATTTCTGGAAAACAAAAATAGGTTTTCAGAGACATGTCTGCTGTAGTCAGAAAAGATACTGAAAGTTCAAAACCAGTACACCAGTATGCCTATGAACTAAATAATTAAACCACCAAAACATTCCCTTAAAACCTAGTTCCCCTAGAAGACTGTCATAATTTTCAGTTTTTTACTGTGAAGATTGAAAAAAAAAAACAAAAAACAGGAATAAACCAGGCCAGGTTAAACAGACCTGTAATCCTAGCTATTCAGTAGGCTGAGGCAGGCGGATGGAAAGTTCAAGGTCAGCTTGGACAATTTAGTGAGATCCTGCCTCAAAATTAAAAAAAAACCTGAGAAGCAGGTGTGATGGCACATACCTTTAATCCTAGCACTCCGGAGCCAGAGGCAGGCAGATCTCTGTGAAATTGAGGCCAGACTGGTCTACATAGTAAGTTCCAGGCCAGCTGGGGCTACAGGGAGACCCTGCCTCAAAAAACATACAAACAAGCTGGGTGTGGTGGCACACGCCTGTAGTCCCAGCACTTGGGAGGCAGAGGCAGGTGGATCTCTGTGAGTTCAAGGCCAGCCTGGTCTATATAGTGAGTTCCAGGACAGCTGGGGCTATAGGGAGACCCTGCTTCAAAAAGACAAAAAAAAAAAAAAACCCAAACAAAACAAAACAAAACAAAAAAACAACATACAAACAGAAGCCCTAGACTAGGGATGTAGTTCAGTGGTAAAATGCTTGCCTAAGTACAAACACCTATGTTCAGTCTCCAGCACTGTATTTTTAGGGGTCCTTTGACCCAGAAAAGTCAGAGCATCTACAGATGCTATATAATGAACATCTGTATCATGGGAGGGCCCCATCTCCAGTCTCCCCTGCTTCCACACAGGTATTTCGATTAAGGCATTATTCTTTACATAGTTCCTTCTCAGAGCAAACATCCCTATACCCAATGAAGCCTTAAAGGAATTAGCTGAATAGAAAAGAAGCCAGCTACCATAGATGGGAGCAGAAACTAGAAAAGGCCAAGATTTGAAGATCAGTGCTGATAAAGGCAACCCTCTTGTGTTATTTCTCACGTCACTGCCTGTTCTATAAATACATTTAAGAATAGTTAAACTCACATACAATAGCTCTACATGACGCCATGTGTATAGCTTAAGGCTACATAACAAGAAACAGTGCCAGACAGGAGAAACCTTCCTTTGAGTTGTTGACCAGGGTAGTCCAAGAGACTCCCAAGATTATACAGGCTATTGCCATAGCCCTTGATTGCCTCCCAGAACTTGAAGGTAAGACTCTATTGCTAAAGACAGGACATACTTCGGACACAGGATTTGGAGCAATGGAGCGGGAACTGACCTGGAAGTTACCTCCCCTGAAGACTAGCTCTCATAGCTTTGGAGAACACCATGCTTGCTGCTAAGGGAGAACATTAATCAATCAATCAATGGTTCCAACCCCAGCTTCAAGGTCTAATAACCACATCAATGACCAGCACAGCAAAGGACACTGGTGCAGTAGTGCCACTTTTATCTTGGGGGTAATCAACAGCTACCTAATTGGACTTACAGCCCACTCAATGTGGGGGCAGGGGGGAGACTCATATGTGGTACTGTAAAAATAGCCAAATACGCATAGCTGGAGCGATCATAGAGAAAACCCCAAAGGTGTCACATCCCTAGACAAATATAATTTCTTATTATGTGCAAAATATGGATCCTTAAATTTACAGACAAGTATCCTAGTCACCACCCATCAAAGAAGCTTCTTTTTTTTTCTTTTTTTTTTTTTGGTCTTTCTGAGACAGGGTGTCTCTGTAGCCTCAGCTAGCCTGAAACTCACTATCTAGACTAGGTTGGCCTTGAACTCACAGAGATCCACCTGCCACTACCTCACGGAACATAGAACAAGGGATAAAGAGAACACTAACGTATCTTTTCATTCTCATCAATGAAGCGCCCTCAAGCAACAGAGGGTCAGTAACATGAAAGGTCACAAATGACCAAAACAGAGAGTAAGAGTTTACAGTATGGGTCCTTGGACAGGACTCCTATATAAAAATCCACCTACCCAGGACTTGGGGACCATTTCAGAAGAGGAGGCAGAAAGATTGTTAAGAGTCAGGGAGGAGGTGCATGACCATGTGGAAACAGAGTTCTATAGGCTCCTGAGACCCTTCTCATATGAACCTACAGCCATGGTGTCAGTATGCACAAGACCCATGCAAACTCAAGCAGACAACAACCCAACACAGAACTGTGGAAATGGACAGTTGGTCCCAATCTTAGTCAAAGAATTATTGGCAGCTGATTACTGTTGGGTGAAGAAGAGCTGATCTTCTTAGAGGGAGGGACTCTAGATAGGCTGACTAGACCTCAGTGGATGAACATGCACCAAGGGATGTATGGGGACACTAGCTTTCCATGATGGGCCTTAACACAAATTACAGAATGTATGAATTCCAGTGGGTGGGGTTGCTATGGGCAGGTGCCAATGGGAAAGGGGTATAAAGTTGATTAAGATGTTCTGTATGAAGTACACAAAAGTTCAATAAAGGATTAAAAAAAAAAAGAAGAAACTCTGTTTCTAAATTTAAAAACCCCTGTGCCCTGTGGCTAAGTTAAATACAAAAAAGAATTACCTGAAGAGTTCTTTGATCCTTTTATGGAGGAGATCACAGTTTGAGTTTCTGCCACACTGCAACAGAAAAGCAAATCTTGGCATTTGTGCGAACAGGACAGGTGGCAAAACTAAAACTTTTCTAACTCAAAGAATTTTTCTAAACATTGGAGAATACAGCAGCAATTTAAGAAATCAGTTTTTCAATTTAAAATTTCTACAAAGAGAAATTTACAACAGTCAAAAGAGAAACCAGAAAACTGCAATGTTTCTTCCATATTTATAACTTTTATATAAATTTCAATTTTATAAATAAATTCAGGTAGAACTAAAGTTCTACTTACAAGACAGCAAAAGTTGCTCTGATCAGACTGCACAACAAGCTTACCTTACAGGAATACCATCCTTGTAGCGGGTACCAATTTCACTGGTAGAGCTAACTTCATCGCAGCCAGAACGAGAAGCTTCTACTGGGTTTTGCTCTGCGGAGTTCCAGGCATTTTTTTTAGAGGGGCTGTCTGGTTTCTCTTCTCCAGATTCAGAAGAATCAATGGCAACTACTTCTAGCTGAGGGTTTGGAAGTTCTAGAACTTCCAGGGAGGACTCGCTATCTGGTTCATCTCTCATAGTTTCTTGCTCCTGACCAGTTTTGCTATCTTCCCATGTAGAGGTTGTGACTTTCCCCCCTTTAGTTAACTTTCCAGTTTTTGCTTTTCTTGCAGGTTTAGCAGTAAATACATCCTGTTCAGTGTCACTATTCTCAGGAACATGAGCAGCCCGTAGTGTTTTCTTCTTCCGAAGTTTCTTCTTTTTCTTGTTCCCTCTGGTTTCAGCTGATGTCAGAGTGGATTCTGCCTGCTGCTCAGGATGTTCAGCTGGGGAGGGAGTTTCCTTCTCCAGAGGGGTTTCTGAAGCAAAAGACAATCTTAGAAAAGAACTGCTACAGGCTTCAGAGCCACTGTTGCCTTTGGTTGATTCTTCACCTTTACTTATGCCAGGAATATCAGGAGATTGGGGAGAGGGAGAATCTTCTCTGCTCCTGGAATTTCCTTGATCCACAGAAAAATTCAGATCTTGGTTAGGTTCAGGGCAACTTTCTGTTGACTCTGATGTCAATGCCGCAGTGACAGCTGGATAAATTGGACAGCTGTCACTGACCTCTCCTAAATCAAGAAGAAAAAAAACCTGTTGCATCTTTTTGTGTGTTTGCTGTTTACAGTCATAAACTACAAATTATACATCACTGAGTCGTTACCAATTAATATTTCAATGGCGTATTCACAAAACTGTAACTATTATCACTGGTAAGTCATCCTTCAACTTCTCGTAATCTACACATTCCTGTTATGGTACTTCCTACCCTCTGGCCTTACATTAGTCTCAAAAGCAACAGATATGTCTTACTCCCTACAAAAGCTCCTTGTGAAAGCAGCGGTGCAACTCAGTAGCCCAGTGATACAAGGTTTGCTTAGCATATTACAAGGTCCTGGGGTTGGCTTTAAACCTTAGTACAAAAAAACCCCCACACAATAACATAATAATAAAGCAGAAAATTAGTTTTCATAGTGATTGCTTCTATTAATCTTTTTTTCTAGTTTTAAATGTTGACATACTTAAAGATATGTGAGGTGTGTGTGTGTGTGTGTGTGATGTATAAGTACCAGTACACAGGTGCCATGGTACTTGATACATGGTATTTGTGTGGGCAGAGAACAACTTTCGGGCGTTAGTCCTTGTCTTCTACCTGGAGTGAGGGAGGGTTCTCTTACTGTTTCTGCTAATTTACTATATGCTCCAGGCCACTTGGCCTGAAAGCTTCTAGGTGATTCTTCCATATCTGTCTCCCATCTTGCTATGGGGTGCTGGGGTTACAGATAGTGTCCACAGCATGTAGTTTTTAAAAAAAAATTGTATTTATTATTTTTATTTTATGTGTATGAGTGTATTGCCTGTATGTATGTGAGTGCACCTGTGTCGTGCAATGCTGCAGAGATCAGAAGAGGGCTTCGGATTCCCCTGGAACTGGAGTTAAGGATGGTTCATAGCTGCCATGTGGGTACTGGGAATCAAACCTAGGTACTTTGCAAGAGCAGTCAGTGCTCTTAACTGCTGAGCCATCTCATGTAAAACCCTAGCGTGCAGTTTTTTACAGGGGTTCCAGGGATCCCACCTCAAGTTGTAAGGCTGGCATGGTAAGCACTTCTATATACTGAGTCCATCTCCCTGGCACTGTATTTTATTCTTAGTAGACAAGTACCTATGCTCTAACTTATTTCTTAGAAGTTTTCATTATAAATTGTGTGGTTGGGCTGAAGAGATGGCCTTGTGGTACTGGCTGCTCTCCCAGGTTCAGTTCCCAATATCCACATGGCTGCTAATAGCTATCTGTAACTCCAGTTCCAGATAATCCAACACCTTCTTTAGAGAAAAAAAATTGGGTGTGGTGACTTGCTTATAATCCCAGCACTTGGGAAGCTGAGGCAGGAGGACTGCAACTTTGAGGCCAGCCTGGACTAAGTAATGAGGCCTGCCTCAACAAAAGGTAAGTTTCATTTTAACATTTTACTCCCACACCATCCAATCCAGCTACAAAGTATCAGTCAATAGTTGAAAGGTCAGCTAAAAAGAATATTGATTTTTCAGCTTAGTTCATAAACTGAATGTTTATTTAAATGTAGATTTCGGGAGCTGGAGAGAGGACTCAGTGGTTAAGAAAACTGGTTGTTCTTGAAGAAGACCCAGGTTCGAATTCCAGCACCCACATGGTAACTAACAACTGTCAGTAACTCCAATCCCAGGGGATCCGACAGCCTCTTCTGATCTCCACGGGCATTGTACAACATGGGTGCACTTACCTACATGCAGGTAATACACATGTACACATTAAAAAAAAAAAAAAAATCGCAGGGCATGGTGGCGCATACCTCTAGTCCCAGCATTTGGGAGGCAGAGGCAGGTGGATCTCTGTGAGTTCAAGGCCAACCTGGTGTACATAACAAGTTCCAGGCCAGCTGGGGCTACAGGAAGACCCCGTCTCAAAAAGACCAGAAAAAAAAAAAGTAGATTTCACATAAAGGAAAAAATCATAATTTTCCATAACTTGACCTCTTTGTACTAAATATGTAATTTATATTTATTGTTTCATATCTAATAATTATTTTTAATAAAATATTATGTGAAGGGCTAGAGAGATGGTTCAGCAGTTAAGAGCACTGGCTGCTCTTGCAGAAGACCCAGGTTTGAATCACAGCACCCACATGGCAGCTAACAACCTTCCATAGCTCCGGGCACTGCACAACATGGGTGTACTTACAAACATGCAGGCATAACACTCATACACATAAAATAAAAATAAATCAAATAAAATCATTATGTGCATGAGTGTTTTGTCTGCATGTATGCAAGTACACCTGTATCATGTAATACCCTTGGAGGCCAGAAGAAGGCATAAGACCCCCTGACACTGGAGTTAAGGATGGTTGTTAGTCACCATGTGGGTACTGGGAATTGGACCTGGGTCCTCTGGAAGAACAGCAAATATTCTTAACTGCTGAGTGATCTCTCCAGTCCCCCTCCTTTTTTTTTTTTTTTTAACATGGGTACTGGGGATTCAAACTCAGGTCCTCACTGCTTTTAAGAGTAAGTGCTCTTACCCATTGAGCCAACTCCCTATCCCTCAACGATGAATTATTTTAATGACACAGGAAAATTTGTATTTAGTACAAAGAGGTCAAGTTATGGAAAATTATGATTTTTCCTTTATATAAAACCTACATTTAGGGGCTGGAGAGATGGCTCAGCAGTTAAGAGCACTGATTGCTCTTGCAGAGGACCCGGGTCTGATTCTCAGCACCCACATGGCAGCTACAAACCGTCCTTAACTCCAATTTCAGGGGAATCCGAAGCCTTCTTCTGACCTCCGCAGCATTGCACGACACAGGTGCACTCACATACATGCAGGCAATATACTCATACACATAAAATAAAAATAATCAACAACAACAAAAACCCTACATTTAAACAAACATACACTTATGGTTTAGTATAGATTGAAATACGGGATAGGGATGTAGTTCAGTGATTAAGAGGGGCTGCCTAGCATGTAATCTCTAGCAACCTTCACACTTAAAAAAGATAGGAAATATATAACAAAATATCTACATTTTAGGTCTATTTTTATTAAACACTAGCTTTTTTTTTTTTTCCTGGTCTTTTTTTTTTTGGAGACAGGGTCTCCCTATAGTCCCAGCTGACCTGAACTCACTATGTAGACCAGGCTGGCCTTGAACTCACAGAGATCTGCCTGCCTCTGCCTCCTGAGTGCTGGGTCAAAAGGCATGCGCCACCATGCCCGGCTTATTAAACACTACCTTTTAATAGCAATTAAACAATAAGTCATTAGAATTCATTATAATTTTTTTTTTTTTTGGTTCTTTTTTTTTTGAGACAGAGTCTCCCTATAGTCCCAGCTGTCCTGGAACTCACTATTTAGACCAGGCTGGCCTTGAACTCACAGAGATCTTCCTGCCTCTGCCTCCCGAGTGCTGGGATTAAAGGTGTGTACTACCACGCCTGGCCCTTAAATTTTTTAAAAAAATATTTTTATTATTTTATGAGTGTTAAGCCTGCATGTGTGCAAGTGCACCTGTGTCATACAGTGCCCATGGAGGACAGAAGAGGCCATCAGATCCACTGGAACTGGAACTGAAGTTATAAACAGTTGTTAGCTGCCATATGGGTACTGGGATTCGAACCTGGGTCTTCTGTAAGTACTGCCAGTACTCTTAACTGCTGGGCCCATATTTAAAAAATTTTTTAATTACATTTTTTTTTCTTTTGTATGTGTGCACACCTGTGGAGGACAGAGGACAACTTCTACAAGTTAGCTCTTCTACTTTCACCAGGTAGGTCCAGGGATCAAACTCAGGTTGGCAAGCTTGTTGGCAAGTACCTTTACCTGCTGAGCCATCTTTCCAGTCATACATTCTCTGAAATATTTTAAAACAACTCTCCTATATGAGGAATATTTCAATAAAAAAGTAACCGTGATAACTTTGATTTTTTTTTTTTTTTTGAGAAAGGGTCTCACTATGTATTCCTGGCTGGCCTCAAACTCAGAGAGATCCACGTGCCTCTGCCTCCCAAGTGCTAGGTTTAAGGCTGAGCCACCAAGCCTGGCTTAGTTTTAATGGGCAAGTATAACTTTACACACTGATACACAATTGTCTTTCAGGGGTGCCCTAACTCAGAGAAAAGCTTACTTACTATCAGTTTGCAGTAGTTCCTTGGATACATTGCAGGTAGAGCCTTGTGACAGAGCATTCACATTCCCCTCTCGTTCAGGAGACATGGGCTCTTGTTTAATCTGAATTGATGAATCAGGAACAGTGCCATGGGCTTGGAAAGTAGATGTGGTTACTTGAAGAGGGGTTCCAGTGGATGATGGAGACACACGGGAAGGAGGCGGCTCCAGAAAAACTGGGAAAAAGGGAGCAGGCAGCAGTGTGTTTTCAACAGATGTCTGAGACTTGCTGTTTCTTTGTTCTCGTGTTGTGAGGCTACAGGGTGCCTGGTCTGGGTTCTCAGAAGGTTCATATGTTTCTAGAACAGAAAACACACACAGAGAAATGTAAGAATGTTATATGGAAAGTCATTTGTTTCTTAGCCAATTCGTATTTTTTTTTTTTTGGCCTTTTTGAGACTGGGTCTCCCTGTAGCCCCAACTGTCCTGGAACTCACTATGTGGACGAGGCTGGCCTTGAACGCAGAGAGATCTGCCTGCCTCTGCCTCCCAAGTGCTAGGATTAAAGACATGCGCCACCATGCCCGGTGCCAATTTGTATTTTTAAAGATTAAAAAATAATTTTAAGCTGGGCATTGTGGTGCATGCTTGTAATCACAGCACTTGGGAGGTGGAGACTAGAGGATCAGGAATTCCAAGGTCATCCTCAGCTACATAGCAACTTTGAGGCATCATAGGTTACATGAGACCCTGTCTCAAAAAACAAAAGTAAACAAATAAGAAAATTAAATTAACAATGTACTAGTATATTCCTTCATAATTTCCCAAAATCAGTATTACATAACCTCCACAACTGTCAAGGGTACAGAGAGAACAGGTATCAACATTTCAATTTTTAAAGATGAGAGGGCCGCTCACATCTATATTCCAACATTTGGGAGGTGACTGAGAAAGGCAGGATTGCTAGGAGTTTCAGGTCAGTCTAGGTGATATAGTGAATTCCAGGACAGCCTGGGCTACAGAGTTACACCCTAACATAACAAAACAAAACAAAACAAAACACACCACACCATACCACACAACACACCACAAAACAACCTTTCATCTTTCAACTTTTTTTTTTTGAGACAGGGTCTCTCTGTAGCCCCAGCTGGCCTGGAACTTGCTATATAGACCAGGCTAGCCCCTGAACTCAAAAAGATCTTCCTGCCTCTGCCTTCCAAGTGCTGGGATTAAAGTGTGTACCACATTCAGCTCATCTTTCAACTTTTTTTTTTTAATTTTATTAATTATTTTTATTTTATGTATATGCATGTACTGCCTGCATGTAGGTAAGTGCATGTGTATCATGCAGTGCCCACGGGGGACAGAAGAGGCTGTCGGATCTTCTGGAACTGGAGTTATAGACAGTTGTTAGCTGCCATGTGGGTGCTGGGATTCGAACTCGGATCTTCTGCAAGAACAACCAGTGTTCTTAACCACTGAGCCATCTCTCCAGCCCCCATCTTTCAACTTTTAAGTGACTTACCCAAGGTCATATCACTACTAATGGAAGAGCCAATATTTGAACTCAGGTCTTCTGATTCCTAACCATTGTTCTTTTGACTCTATTCATCACCCCAACCCCATACTGTGACTTGAACCCAAGGCCTTGAACATGCTAAGCAAGCATTCAACAAGTAAGTTATATCTCCAATTCTCATTTTATTTATTTTTTTGAGACAGAGTCAAGCTGGCCTTGAACTTGCAATCCTCCTGTGTCAGCCTCCTGAGCATCAGAGATTACAGGCCTTTGCCACCAGGCCCAGCTCTAGTAAACATTTTTGAGATGTATAAATCTATGGGTTTTTCACAGGATGAAACCAAGGAGACATGAAAGAAACTATATGATATTTCCGGAACTTTTTCTTTACTCTCTACAGAAAACAAAAAATAGTATGGAGGGAGGGCTTAGTTCATCAGAAGTACTCCAAATACCTTGTAATCCTTGCAGAATTTGTATTCTGTGAGTCCTTAGTGCACTCATCTCCACAGTGATCTGAAAAGACAATATTTTGTTAAGCATTCTGAAATCCAAATTCCAAATGATGTTGTCCTTAGACCATCTATAAGCTGTTACCTGCTGCTTGAGCATGAGCAGCCTCTGAACTTCAACATAAGCTGTCTGTAGGGCTGCTCGGGCCTGCAGAAGGTTGTTATCCATGCACTGCAGCGACTTGCTTAGTTCTTCCTCTCGTAAGGAAATGCTAAGTAGCTGGTCAACCTGAGAACGTTCTGTCAAAGAAAATCACAACACCCAGTTTAATATTCAAGACTTCAAAGACTGAAATGCACTTGACTTAAGAAAAGCTTGTCGATTTTCCTCAACAGGTAAATTACAATCATTAATCTCATGAAACATCTGGTCAGGCCTGATGACATCAAAGCTAAAAATCAAGAGAACTGGCAGATAGCTTATAGGGCACCACCACAGGATACTGCTTGGCCTAACTACCATCTTCTACCACTACCTTTCAGATGCATCTCTGTCCAAGAACATGGACTGTTTGGGTTTCATTTGGCTGTCCTCTATTATGTACCCAATCTCCATACTCACAGCTGCTGCTTAGATCAGGCTTCAGACTTGGATTGCTTATACTCTCCTCCCAAGCTATATTTTTCTAATCTACACTCAGTTTCAAATATTTCTCTTCAGTCAGATTCTTATTTGCTTATTCATTTATTATCATGTATTAAATAAAATGAAATAGGGCCTCATTAAATAGCCCAGGTTGGCCTTGAATTCCTATGTAGATGATGGCAACCTTGAATTATTGATCCTCCTGACTCCACTTCCCAGTGTGCCACCACGCTGAGTTCAAATATTTCTTTTGATGTACAAAACTTTAATGTAATTACAGTGTACTGATGTACTTCTCTATTTTCTGCCTAGTGGTTTTGTAGTTAGTTCTCTTTATTAAAGAAGGCTCCCTGCAGAAAATCTTATTTTGAAACTGTGTGATTTAGACATTCTAGGCAAGCACTTTACCTCTGTGCCACACCCCAGCCCCTGAGATTCTGTCTCAAAAGGATAAAACAAACACACAACAAGCCATGTGTGATGGCATATGCTTATAATTGCAGCACTTTGGAGACTAGCCTGGGCTACATATATGGCAATACTCTCAAAACAAAAATAAGTAAATAATATAATAATACATGGATGAGGGGCTGGAGAGATGGCTCAGCAGTTAAGAACACTGGTTGTTCTTGAAGAAGACCCAGGTTTGAATCCCAGCACCCACATGGCAGCTAACAACGGTCCATAACTCCAGTCCTAGGGAATCTGACAGCCTCTTCTGACCTCGGCCGGCATTGCACAGCATGGGTGTACTTACCTACATGCAGGCATAACACACATAAAATAAAAATAATAAAGTATATCAATCCATGTATTGCCCAATTTCTGTTGAACCAAATAATTTGACTGTTTGGAAATTGAAAAAAGTATCTTTCCTTGTATTTTTTTATTACATTTTATTAGTGTAAGTGTGTGTGCTTAAAAAAATAAAAATTTTAAAAATAATAGTAATAAATGGATGGTGTGTTTGAGGATTCAAAACTATGCTGAATTAAGTTGTAAAAAGGCTGAAGTGCCCTAAGGACAATTCCTTGTGACTGAGGATATAGTAGAGCACCTGCCCAGCATGTATGAAGCCCAGGGATTCCACCTCCAGCATTGTGAAAACAAACAGAACAATGTCTGCAACAGCTTCTGTAACATACCTTTCTTTCCTTTAATTTTTCTTCTTTTATTTTTTCTCTCAAGACTTGGGAGTTCAGGGGAAGATCCATCCTGAAGAGATAGAAAAATGGAGTAATACTAAACATATAAAGGCCATTATACAAGACAGGAAAAAAAAATAATGAGTCTTTAAGATAGTCATACACTGGGGCTGGAGAGATGGCTCAGTGGTTAAGAGCACTGGCTGTTCTTGCAGAAGACTAGGGTTCGAATTCCAGCACCCACATGGGGGCTAACAACTGTCCATAACTCCAGTTCCAGGGGTTCTGACACCCTCTTCTGTCTTTCATGGGCATTGCACAACATGGGTACACTCACACACATGCAAGCATAACACTTGGAAACATAAAAATAAGTAAATCAAGATAGTCATATGCTGTCTTTTGCTAACATCTCTAACAAGACAAAGGGAGTCTTGTACAAACTCAAACATCAGTTGAATTAGTATATCTAATAAAAAAAGAAGACCCAAGGTCAATGCTTTCTGGCATCCTTGAGGTATGAAAGCCCAAGGGAGCTCAGGCAAATTTCAAAGAACACCTTTACAACGAGAAGCTAAACCATCCACAAGACAAACCTCAAGATAACAGGTTTGGGAAAGGACAATGTCTAGTTTAAAGTGTACTTAAAATCATTTAACAGTGCTGGGCATGGTGGCGCATGCCTTTAATCCCAGAACCTAGGGAGGCAGAGGCAGGAAGATCTCTGTGAGTTCAAGGCCAGCCTGGTCTACATAGAGTTCCAGGACAGCTGGGAGACCCTGTCTCAAAAAGACAAAAATAAATAAATAAATAAATAAATAAAATTTAACAGTACCTTCTGTGGTTCAAAGGAGCAGAATCAAAATTTGAAGGAGGTCTAAACTCATGATCCTACTTTATCTACTTCAGCTTTAAAGGGAAAAACCCATTTTTTTCAGTGCCAGATTCCAGATGGTATCACCACCAGCAACTTTCTTTTCAGAAAACAATCTTGGGAGGACTAAGCATTAGTACTAGTATTAGTATTACTAACAAGAAGCCAGAGGAGCAAGTTACAGTATAAGTGAAAAAAAAAAAAAGATTCTTATAGGGTCAGTTTGAGTAACTAATGAACAAAAGACAGGTATAAAGTCTAAAGATACTTCTACACTGTTTATATATATACTCTATCAAATCACCTAAGTAAGCATTAAGCCTTCTGGTTCTGAATGCAAGTCACACACACTTTCCAAATGGAACAGTAGAGTCCCTTCTTCATAGCAGTACAGAGTGCTTCTATGAAAACAGATTAGGTTACAGCTGAAGATGTGACTTATCCTTAGTCAGGTGAACCACTGGTTAGAGTCTAGTTTTAGAGATGACTTCATATTTTCCTAGTACTGTACATTCATATCACATTACATCTAATTTAGAAGAGCTGCTCAGGGAAAGAAACCAACAGGATCAAAGTTAGAGCCTTACAATTCTTTTGTTCCAGGGCAAAGGAAACCACAACCGCAGATGTCTAAGAAAAACCAGTTAAACCTTTCTGATCAATAACTGAGTTGCCACATGCATTTATAAAAAGCACAGGGATTCATACTCACTCCAGTGGCTCTTCGTTTCTTCCTAATACTGTGACCATCATTTTGCTCTGCACCAGAGGTACAGCTGCTATCAGTGGCCGCATCTGCTACGCTGCAGATTGCTTGGACTGAAGATGCATTTGATGAGAGAGAGTTTCCTTCTCCATTACTCTCCTGGGCATTCTGATGTTCTGATGGTGGCATAGACCTCTCTTGGCTATTCAGGTCTCTGGCTGAATGCATTAAAGGTATTATATGATCAGATGGCAACTGTGCACTATGTCGCCTTTGAGTAGGAATGTTTCCAGCCCTTTCACCTGATCTGAGGGAGGGACTCAGAGGTGCCACTTCCTGTTTAAAGTACATGGTTGCCTTTTGACTCTGTGTAGCACTCAATGAGTTACATGGTGAAATAATCTGCTGGGGCTCATTTTCTTTGCCGGTACCTTCCTCGCTAAAGAAGCTATACACAGAAGGAGCCCTGTCCATGATCACGCTGCTTTCAGAAAGGCTTCGCTTTCTTGCCAAGCCAGAGGATGAAGAAATGGAAACACCTTCCCACTGGAATCCTTCGAGACTAGATAGATCAGGCTCCTCATCTAAATCCAAGACTTCCTGTTCATTTTGAACCAAAGGTACCATTTCTATGCCAAACCTTAAAAAAGAATGGAAAAAAACAAAAAACAAAAACAAAAACCAGAAACAAATCAGACATGGTTAGGGGGTGGGTACCTTTTAATGTGCTAAGCTCTATTAAACAGAAGTTACAAAAGATGGTTCCTGCTGTCAAGGAGCTTAAGGTCTGATCCAGACATAAAGAAAACATAGACATTGCAATGTCCCAGGCACCAAATTAGATTTGTATACAGCTACAAGAATACAATTAGGAAGTAAAAGCTGATGGGTTTATTTTGAATAGAGCTCTAAATGTATAGAATTTTTAAAAGCAAAAAAACCAACTGGGTATAGTGGCACACCTTTGATCCCAGTACTCGAGAAGCAAAAGCAGGCAGATCTCTGTGAGATCAAGACCAGCCTGGTCTACATAGAGTTCCAGTTCAGTGGTGGCTACAGGGAAACCCTACCTCAAAAAATCTTTAAAAAAGAAGAGTGAACAAACCAGTTTACTGAGCATTTTTAACCACTAAGCATTACTCTAAGAGCTTTCTACTTATCACATCATGTTTTATTCAAAAGGTCTGAGAAAGAAAAACAGGAAAAAGAAATTTATTATTTCAACAAGAATAGAAATGTCCCTATGTCTCTAGGACTATATATAATAATGTGGTAGAATTATGATTTTCAAATAGCAAACCTATGTTGAACACTCCTTTACTATTCAGAACAGTACCTCAGCATTAAGATGAATAGTCAAAATGTTACAAAAGGCTTAAGAGAAAGAATTCTATGATTCCCAAGTACGACACTAGAGTACACATAGAAAGGCAGGTATCCAGAGTCTAAGTAAGCCTAATGGAACAGTTATACTTTAAACATTACCACTGCTTCCAAAAATGAAGATACAGAGAAAGGTACCACTTTAAGCTAAAGTTATGGATTTCTGGTGATTCTTTCCTAGGTCCACAGTTTCTCATAAGGTATGCTTCCATTATAACCTGCATTCTGTTAGGAAAGTCTTTATTCCATCTTTATACAGTAGCAATCATTGCTTTATATTAGATTAAACCAGACATCTACAATGGATATTTTTGGCAAATATTTAATCAAATGGAACAAGTAGAATTCTCTTGATCAAAGTCAAACTTTAAAAGCAAGAAAGAACAGATATAGAAAAGAGGCACACACCTGGGTAAACCTTTGCCCAGCTCTTGCTTTTTCTTGGTTACTTGCTGAATGACCTGTTCCCAGTTGACATTTCTCCGTGAGGCATTTAGAATCTGCCTCAGGGTTGGCTTAAGTCCAGACTCCTTCTCTGTTTCATTCTTTCGGTGACCACTAATGTTGCGAATACGTCGAGCACTATTGAGGTTTGGCTCTGGAAGATGTGTTCCGGTTTTGCTTTTCAAACTAATGTGCCGAGTGAGATCTCTCTGGAGTGAGGCAGGAAAACCAAGTTTACTTAGTTCAGGCAGGAGAGTGCCTGGGGGCTGACTGATACCATTTTTTTGAAGTTCTGCATCTAAGCTAGTACCCTCAAAGCCTTCTGTTTCAAAAGGTACATGAGATTTAACAGGGTTCTCACCCTGTGCATCTTCTATTGGGGTTTTCAAGTCTAGCAGTAAGTCAGAGTGTGGACTGACTGCAGATGTCATTTGTGATTCCAACTCTTTTTGCAGAACTGTGGAAATGTATGGGGAGGTAGAAGGTTTTCTTGATGTCTTTAGGACCTGCTCACCCCCTTCTTGCTGATCAACAGCATGAGTGCTGCAGGATACTACTTCTGTAGTTGCAGGATCCAAGCTTCCACTTTCTGTTCCATGCTTCTCTGGATCAGAGGTCTTTCCACCACTTTCGTCTTCAACTGCCTGTGCTTGGGTCGTCAAAGATTCTTTTGTAGACTCTTCTGCATTCCTACTTCCTTTTGCCTGGCTCTCAGTCCGTTTAGGAACACTAAGAAGTGGATTTTGCAATGTCTTGTGACTCTGAAGCACCTCCTGGGATTTTTGTGATGTATCTTTTAAATTCTCATCAGGTTCCTTTTGAGTGCCAGATACAGGTTTATTCCCTTTAAAGGCACGAGGACATAAACTATGTAATTTGGATGTATAGGAAGAACCATGGTTATCTCCTAAAGTGGATTTGTTTGGGGGAGTTAAGTGTTCTCCAAGAGAAAAAGATTTTGTTTCACTGTTTTTTGAGGGATTCTTTGAGCTATACTTGTGAGGAACTGATTTAGGGGTTGGAAGTGGAAGGAGTGGAGACTTCAACAATGGAATCTTATTTGACTTGCATTGTGGTTCAGATTGCTCTGTAATGGGGCAATCTCTCACCACCTCACAGGAAGTAGTGCCATCAGAAATGGCTTTGTGATTGAGAGATCCAGCATGTATTTCTTTTTGTGTTTTTAGCCTTGGGGGGTTACTTGTTTTATCAACTGGTTCTTTTACTCCTGCAGTTATTAAGCTAAAATTAAAGAGAGGTTTATCTAAAGTTTCTGACTTTTTACCAGTGACTTCTTTCAGTGCTGACTGTAAATCTGGAGTCTTCTTGGAAGGGTAAGGAGCCCAGCGCCGGAACTTTTCCCTTGCTGTATTGCCATTCTTTCCATTAATTTTTGAGGCTGCCATGTCTATTTGTTTAGTGGTTTGGCTTTCTGGCTGCTCAAAGTTGAATTCAAGTAAGCCTTCTGAAGGAAATTTATCACTAGCAAATCCCTCAGAAGGATTTCTGTATTTATTAGATTTGTCATTATCTTGCCACTGCCATTTATACCTCTCTTGATTGTACTTGCTTGGCTTATTAGATTTCTTGTTCCACATCTTTGTCATGTCTTCCACTTGATAGTTAGAATTTCTGTTTCTGCCTGGTTGAAATTTGTCTCCAGAGCCACTGTAATTCCAACTATTCGTACCACGTACATTAGATTTCCAGTTTCCGTTGCTGTTGTTCATATGCCAACTGGAAAAGCCACCTGTTCCTTCAGAATGCCAACTGGAATTCCTTCCTGTACCACTGTAATTCCAATCCACCATCCCACTATTTGAATGCCAGCCACCTCCAGAATTACCATGATTGTGGAACCAAGCTGAACCTCTTGTAGCACCTTTATGCCATCCAGAACTTCCTCTTGGCCCACCACTGTTTCTCAAAGAATGTGAAAAGCTATTTTTCCTAGTGTTATTAAACCCATCCTTTTCCCATTTCCAATCCCGCTGTGGAGGTCCACGATGATGCCTTGTTGGCTGACTATAGCTCTCTCTGTCTTGGTAAGGGATTCGGTCCTCTCGTCTCCACTGGGGTTGCCTGTCATCTGAGTTTACTTCTTGGTTGTTATTGGATGGTTCATTTTGTCTGGAAGAAAATGAGTTTTTCATTATGAATTTAAAGGAATTCTTATATAGGCTTTTAAAGGTTGTGCCTTCTTTGAAAGGCATAACCCACTAAAATTCCCCATTTATTCTTCTATTACTTAGATTGCATAACAGGGCCCATTTTTATTTTACTGGTTGCTTTTACATCTGTAACTTAATATACTATCTTTCTCCCTCATCCCAGAAATACTAAAAGTCTGACACATTTATACCATCCTCCACCTCTTGACACTTTTTTTGCATGTTCCAGAATTTTGTTCCTCTTTTCTAATTATTTATATTACACAGCTTTTCAAATTAGTAACAATTATATTTTGTTATGATTATTGGTAATATAATTTTATGCTCATTCAGTAGACATACATGATTTCTCCAGATATAGATCCTTACTGAAAAATTGAGTTTTGCATAGATACCTTTGTTATTAAACACTTTATGAAGCACTTATTAAATGGCTGCTAGCAGTATAAAAAAACTTTTATGTACAGTTCCTGCTTGGAATAGGCTTAGAACTGAGATAAAGAATAAGATAGGTCATAAACAAGAAAATAGAACATATCAAATATTAATACTCATAGTAGGTGCTATAAAGAGCTCTATGAGCTACAGATTTTTATAGAGAAACTACAGCTGTTTATGCTAGATAAGGAGTCCACAAAAATGTAAATAAGTTTAAATATCACAGCAATCTGTAAAACCATTTTTCTCTAAAAACTGCCTGTGGTATGTTTAAACATGCTTAGCATATGGTAAATACTCAAAAATACTGGGTAAAAATGAGAGCTAAAATTCACCAAGTATCTGCTGTCAGGTATTAATGCTAAGCACTTTTTTGCAGATTACCTCATTTAACAATCCAGAGGCAAATATTCTTACTATTCCCATTTCTGAAACTGAAGTTTAGATAGGCAACATAACTTGTGTAGAACAATACAATCACAAAGACTGAACCTTAACTGCAGTTTATATTAATCATTTAGGCCTTGACCACATTAAAAAAAAAGAAAACTCACAAAAGTTTCTGCAGTTGAGCTCCTTTTCCCTAAGCTTAACTTAAATCTTAAAAACTGACTTTAATTGGATTAAAAAACTTTTTCACATTTATTTGTGTGTGTGTCTGGTGTGTGTGTATGTGTATGCGCACATGTGCATGTATGCCCACATGCCCTGGCACACATGTATGGGTCAGAGGACAACTTTCAGGAGTCAGTTCTCTCTTTCTACCATGTGTGTTCTGGGGATCAAACTCAGGTTGTTAGGCTTGGCAGAAAGTGCCTTTACCCAGTGAGTCATCTCACCGGCCTTAAATGGCCTTCTGTGTGTGCTGTATTTTTATTTCAAAGTACTATAGAGAAAAATAAGATAAAGTTCATTAGCAGATACCTAATGAGTCCCTAACTGGCTTTCCATATCTGTAATATTCTAGATACAAATCAGAATTTCTTCCTTTTTTTCACAAGGCAGAATTAGAAGTTAATGTACCTAGGTGGGCATGGTAGAACATGCCTGTATTTTTAGCAACTGGGAGGCCAGGGCTAAGAGGAACACGAATGGGCTACACGAGACCCTGTTTTAATCAGTCAACAAATAAAGAAATGATAATTCTATAAACAGGTCACCAAGGACATATACAAGACTCAAAGAACAATAATTGATAGCAATGGCTAATCTACTGAGGAATTTCTTCTCCTCTGACAATATTTAATCATTTACTCCACTAAGCTGTAGTAGTTCTGATGGGTAAGAACAAAAGAGAAGTCAGTATAATATGTGCTCAGCTTCCAGAAGCAGTAGAAGAGTAAACTCCAGCTGTACCGGAGTAACGAGAATGTCATCAGAAGGACCAAGCGACTTAAAAGCTCAACAACCATGCCGTTATGGACATTTTAAGATTAAGAAAGTCTCCTTCCAGGACTTATTTTTTTAAAAGGCTAATATATAGGGCAAAAACTATATACTTCCTATTTGTATTTAAATCTCTAACCTGAAAAAAAGGTGAGACCAGGTTATAACTAATATTCAAGAAAAATCTTTAAATTATTATCTTTAATTCAGCATACATTAGGACTTGAAAAACTGCTGCACTTCACAAATTGTTCTCTCATATCAGAAACCTTTTGCCTTACTAATTCAATTCTTTAAGACCGAAGTAAGGCATGAAGGCACACACCTGTAATCCCAGCACTTTGGGAGGTAGAGGCAGGAGGATCAGAAGTTCAAGTTTATTTTCAGCTATAGAGCATAACCTTGGTTTCATGAAACCCTGGCTAAAAAGAACAAAATAAAACAAAAAAAGACTCCCAAGAACCCTTTTGGCTATACAATCAGTTAAGTAAAATCACAAGTGCCTAACACATGAAGTATAAAATGAAATTAAGAAGTGGAAGTAGGAAACATATTGTGTAAAGAATCATGACTTAAATTTAAAGTATTAACTTATTCAATAAATATTTATAGAAGCATTTAGAGTGAACAAAGCACTGTAGCAGTCACCAAGAATTCAAAGATGAAAATAAAAATCAACTTTGGAAGAAGCACTATGCTAATTTACAAGAGGTAATTTTTCTCAAGAGGTATTATTTTGGCAATAAAAACACCTAATTCAATGATGCTTACTCTCTAGTAGCTTTCTACTAGAAAAAACTGGATACCAATAAAAACAGTCCCAGACATAGTTTCCAACATGATAGTTTTCCTATGTAGTTAGCTTATCTAAGGACAAGACTGAGATTTGTTTTTAAAGAACAAGTAAGAAAACATTTCATTGCCCCTATTCCAAAGCTGGCCAATACAAACTAAACTTCATATTTAAGATAAACTTAAATGCTTTAGGCTGTTAAAGATAGGCTTACTTTAAAACTTCCAATCATTAGGGGCTGGGGAGGTAGTTCAGTTTGTGTTTGCCCAACATGCACAAAGCCTTAGGGGCTGGATCTCTAGCACTGGATAAACTAGAGGCCAGTCTGGTCTACATGAGACCCTGTCTCAAAAACCAAAAAGAAATCACATTACTTACCGATTTTGTTCTTTTCTTTCTTTTATTAACTGAACAAGTTCCTTGTCAAAGTAATCTTCTTCCTCTTCCTCTTCTTTTCCATCATCTTCTCTTTCTTGGGCATCAACGTTATCTTTGTGCAACTGGCCAGAAATGTGTTTTGCATAAGCAGAGAGACCCACTTCTGTGACCCCGCACACTCGGCACTCATGACTACTGTCCCTAGGGAAAGAGGGAGATGAGGGACATTCAATTCTCCCCACTGGCATGGCACACTCACCAGATCTGTTAAAGTTTCCTCTGAAAGACACTGCACAATTTGGTACAGTGAAAAATTACTGCTAATCAATTCCAATGCTCCTTTCATCACTTTTAGTAAGTTTGTTAATAGATTATTTTTGTAATAAATTTTAGATTTGTTTCCAGCAATCAAGAGGCAATACACTTCAGATTAATGTGCTTTAGGAGGAGAAATCTTCTTGAATTGCTGTACTTATCTTGCCAGAGGAAACATGGTGAAAGGGGAGGCAGGGCAAGGGGGCTCAGAGCAAACACTGGTTGCTCTGGAGCACACCCATGGTGCCAGCAGCACTCAGAGAGCCTGGTAACAGCACTTCCATTTAATCTCCAGCTCTAAAGCTTTCATCCAGTGAAAGTTAAGGGGTGGAGAAAAGGGTAGGCAGCACAGCCAATCTCAACCCTGTAACCAAATCGGACAGCTGGCGCTCCGCCTGGAATGTGAGGATTCCGGACCCTGACAAATGACAGTAGTCTCAGCAAACGTTTTTAGTCTGGATGATACATGTGATCTACATTCTCCTTCAGCAGGGCTTATTTTAAAGGGAATGGAAAACATTTGAGTTGTAGGAAGTTAACAGCTGCCGTAGGCAAATGTTTTTTCTCAAGTTTCAGAAATGCTACAGTTCAGAGAGAAGCAAAACAGGTTTATATTTAAAAATAATAAATGGGTTTGTTTCTTTTTTATTGTTTTATTCTTTTCCTTGATACAATGGCAAATCTCACCCTTGCCCAGCCTTAACAAGCAAAATCTTGAATCTTCTTCAGACCTGTAACAGACCAATAGTTTACTTCTGAGCTTCTTGAGAGCCTTTGGGTCAGCTGTCTATGCAGCCATTTATGAGAAATATAAAACAATGACCTCTGGACAGTGATACCCAGAATCCAAATTAACTTAATCCAGTAGCATGTGTCTTAGGTTATACTAGCCATATTTTTGTACTTCATAGATATATAGGTATAAATGTATATATAAATATATATGTCAACACAAACACACAGAGGCACCTCTGTTCCACCCTTTTTATAAATATCCAACCAAACACAAGCAGAACGCAGATCCATTAGCCAGAAGAGGCCCGTGAAACTGAGTGATTCATTTACTGGAAGACAGTTTCTGATATGTATCAATAGAATGTCCTTAAAGCAAAACAAAACAAACACCTTATTGAGTCAAGCATAATGCAATGCTACCTAGGACAACAAAGTATAAACACTCAAACAATATGCAGTAAGTTTTAAAAAACAATACTGGGCGCTAGATCTAGAGATGGCTTGGTGTTAAGAGCACTTCCTGTTCTTCCAGAGGATGCCAGTACCCACTTCGGTGGCTCACAACCATGTAACTTTTTTTTAAAAAAAAGCTCGCTAGGCATGGTGGCACACATCTTTAATCCCAGCACTCGGGAGGCAGAGGCAGGCAGATCTCTGAGTTCAAGGCCAGCTTGGTCTATATAGTGAGTTCCAGGCCAGTGGGGCTACAGGGAGATCCTGTCTTGAAAAAGACCAAAAAAAAAAAAAAAAAAAAAAAAAAAAAGCAATGCTGTCAGGCTGGAGATGTAGCACAGTGGTAGAACACTCATCTACCAAGCATGAAGCCCTGTTTGCTTTGCAGCATTGCAAGAAAGGAGGAAGAGGAGGAGGTGCACCCATGTCATGGAGTACCTTGTACACATAAGATAAAAATATTTTTAAAAAATCATGAATTGGTTACCTGAAATTTTAATATTCTAATTCTATGTAATCCCACAATACTTTTTTTTTTTTTTTTTTTTTTTTTTTTTTTTTTTTTGAGACCGGGTCTCCTTGTAGCCCCAGCTGTCCTGGAACTCACTATGTAGACCAGGCTGGCCTTGGACTCACAGAGATCCGCCTGCCTTTGCCTCCCAAGTGCTGGGCCATAATACTTTTTAATCACTATTTACTAACAACATTTAGGTACTTAAATCATTATAGGGGCCAGAGAGATAGCTCAGTGGTTAAGAGCGCTGACTGCTCTTGCAGAGGACCCGAGTTCTATTCCCAGCACCCTCATAGTGACTAACAACCATCCGTTAACTCCAGTTCCAGGGGATCTGACGCCTTCTGACTTCCGAGGGGAACTGCATGACACAGGTGCACTTATACACATGCAGGCAATACACTTGCTCATACACATAGAATAAAAATAATAAATACATTTTTAAAAAAAGAATAATCATTATTACTTCTTCCAGCTGATCAGGAATAAAGTTCTTTGAAAGAACTAAACTGAGGACAGCTCATTCTAGGTGGATGTTAACTGGTATCAGGAAACAAGTATCTCTCAGCAACACAAAATGTTTATAACGGGCAGCACCAGAAGAATCTAAAGACAATGTGACAAACCTGAAATACGTAATATACACCATAACAGAAATCCAAATCAACTCAATTCTTTAGTTAGAACACAATTTTGTCTTCAATGTCTTAGTGGGCATTTCTACTTAACTTACAGAATGCTATACTGTGCATTGCAGTACTGTATTCTACTGAAAACTTTTGTATAATCTCTAAAAGTTTTTCTTGTTTATTTTTATTTGTATTTATATATATGCATATATTGCCTACATGCATGCAAGTACACCCATGCCATGCGATGCCTGCGGAGGACAGAAGAGGCCATCGGATCCCCTGGAACTGGAGCCATGGACAACTGCTAGCTGCCATGTGTGTTCTGGGATCTGAACCTAGGTCTTCTGCAAAAAAAGCCAGTGCTCTCAACCACTGAGCCATCTCTCCAGCCCCAAGTTTTTCTTTGTAATTACTGATTCTGCCCTTATTTCTAAAATACAGAAAAATTTTCTCACCAAAACTGCTCTGTTCAATTCCTGATTAATAACTGGTTAAAATACACTATATAAGCCAGGCATGGTGGTGCACGCCTTTAATCCCAGCACTCGGGAGGCAGAGGCAGGCGGATCTCTATGAGTTCAGGGTCAGCCTAGTCTACACAGTGAGTTCCAGGACAGCTGGGGGCTACAGGGAGGCCCTGTCTCAAAAAGACCAAAAAAAAAAAAAAAAAAACCCAGAAAAACAAAAACCATTGTATAAAAACTTAACTATGGATAAAATGTACAGCTTTTGCTTCATGGCTAATAAAGGCAGTAATTTTCCAGTAAGTTTGAAGAGCCTAAATTAGCTTCATCCTGTTACCCCACAATTTCCCCTCATGTGAAAGACAATCTTAAGATACCCTCTGAATAAGCTTTTCTTTATTAAGCTTGCTCTGACTACACCACAACAGCTGCTTGATAAATAAAGGTTTGAGTCTTTATAATGGCTTCTATCTGGAGAGGCTACTTATAGATCACATATTTGAACAGACATATTTGGTAAAAACAAGGAAATGTTCCAGATGTCTCTAACTATGACCAGTTCTCAATCAAGCTTACCTTGCAAACTTAATAATGTATTTTACAATTATTTACCAAATCACAACCAAAATATAAATAGAGCTGTAAGCACAAAGTCTTAATATCAGAAATCCAGTAATTCAACACGAAATCCAGAGGAAATAGCCATATCTTGAGGATAATAATGAAAAGGAACAATAGTCACGATTGATGACTATTTGTCCCTAAGGCACAAACAAGTGATGACTGTCTCTATGATAATGCTCCAAGTCAATAGATGATTTTTGAGACTTTGTGTATGTGTGTGTGTGTATGTCTTTACTGTGTTTTAAAGGCTTTATCAGCTGGTTTTTCTTGCTACCAGTTGCCTTTTCCCCTGTTATGGGCTAGCAAATCATATGAAGCTTGTTAGCAATACATTTAACATACAAGGAAATTAGTACTAAAGCGTTCTCCAAATGAGTTAGGGTACTAAAGCTGTACTGGTAGTTCAAATGTTTTTAACATTCATCCTAATTATTTCTGTTCAAAAAACTGAAAATGACACATTAGAGTGCTTGCCTAGCATGTACAAAGCCTGGGGTTTGAACAGCACTACACAAAACAGGTGTGGTGATACACCCACCTGTAATCCTAATACTCAGAGGTAGAACCAGGATGATCAGGAATTCAAGGTCACCCTCACTACACAGTGAGTTCAAATCAGCTTGGGCTACATAAGACTCTGTTCCAAAAATAAATAAAGAGGGTATTAGTACTCTCCTACTGACTAGACTTATTGATCTCATTTGTTCTGTTAGGTTTCATTGTAGTACATGAGGCAGGTGGGAGGTAAGTAACCTAGCATTAAGGTGAACTCAGGAAGGGAGTCTATTGGAAATGAGATTTATAGTTTAAAGAATTCACATATATGTAAAAGTTAATGATTTCCAATTCTAGTGAGTCAGAGATCACATATGTATTCAAATTTCCTATGCCAAATCTGAGTGAAGCCCTCTTTTCATTGCTGCTAAACATAACTCTTATATACTGTAAGACTGAGGACATGAAAAAAATTCCACTAAAGAGATGCTGAAAATCTAACAACAGCAAATTAATTTGCACACACAAGCTAAGACTGTATAACTTAACAATAAAATTAATTCAATAATATTAAATAACAGGATGGTAGCTTCACAGAAGCTTTCAACTATTATTCATGGAATAAAACATAATTCATATTTCTAAGTTTACCAATATTACCTTTACCCAATTTCTAAGCTTCAAATTCACATTAGTCAAAAATACCCAAAAAGGAGCTACAAGGAGAAAAAAAGGACATGGAATATACACATAAGCTACATTTTCTTTTTAAACCTCCTTCAAACATCTTAAGCCTTAAATCACAACAGAGCATTCTGAAATACATTTAAGGCCTATTATTTTGTTTTACTAACACTAAAGAGATTCAATATAGGTTAGCAAGCTTTAGACAGCTTAGACTGTAGCTTTAGACTTAGCAAGCTTTAGGAACACTAGAGGTTTATTTATGGCATGCAACTATTTCGCTCAAGCAAAAATATGAACAGTCCTAGCTATACAGGCATGAGTCAGCTTACTACTAAGAAAGCTAGCTCATCCCAACTCAACTTTGTTATAATCTACTTGCCTGAGTCGCTATGAATTCTACCCATTTAAGATACACAAGCATTTTTCTTTTTTGAAAGGCAAAAGTCTACTGCTATTAAGTTTAGAGAACAGGTCAATGTCATAAGACAACATTCATCATGACAGATTATTAGAAAATAAATTGACAGCCCCCACCGCCTCGGCCCCAGCACTCAGATTCTGATGTCCATGAGAAAATAAGTTGACAGGCCCCATCAGCACTCGGATTCCCATGTCCATGTTCACAAATTTATGGAAGAGAGCCATTCTCATTACCTGCCTTTCAGGTTCTCAAGTTCCCTGTGATGCAACATGCTCCGCATGTGTTCGTCCATCTCCTTCAAAATGAAAGAAAGCAGATTAAACTAAGGGGGATTGCTTAAGGATGGGTAGAATTCTTCTGCTCAATTAACAATTGGGGTTCAAGTTTCTTATGTCAAAAAAAGTTTGTAATTACTCTTTCTAATTTAGTACTGTATTAGTTTCACATTAAATAATTCTCTCTTTGATGTATTTTGGGGGGGAGTAGGGTCTCAAGTAGCCTAGGCAGGCCTCACACTTGCTATACAGTCAAAGTAGACCTTGAATTCCTGATCCTCTGACCTCTACCTCCCTTGATTTTCTTTTTTCTTTCTTTTTGAGATTAGGGTCTCCCTGTAGCCCCAGCTGAGCTGGAACTTACTATGTAGACCAGGCTGGCCTCAAACTCACAGAGATCTACCTTGCCTCTGCCATGCGCTACTATGCCCAGCTCTGATTTTCATTTTTAAAATAGAAGAAATTCTTAAACATTTAAAGCAGCTTTTCTTTTTTCTTTCTTTCTCCTTCTTCTTTAGAGACAGGGTCTCCCTGGCATTCACTATGTAGACCATATTGGCCTGGAACTCACAGAGCTCTGCCTCCCAAGTGCAACCACACCCAGCTAGAATTAAAGCAGTTTTACAAAATGGTTAGAAGCATTGGCTCTGGAGGAAAAAAGAAAGTTTAAGCATAAACAATGCAGGTTAAACTGTTTTATAAATAATTTACTAAAGTTTATTTAAAAAAAAAAAAAAAAGGCAGGAAACAGAGGCAGGTGGATCTTTTTGAGTTTGAAGCCAGCCTGGTCTACATAGCAAGTCCCAAGCCAGCTGGGGCTACAGGGAGACCCTGTCTCAAAAAGACCAAACAAACAAACAAACAAAAAAACCTCTCAAATTATTTAACTTTTTAAACTATTTGGCTATTTAGTGTGTTGTGGTGTATATACATGTCCATGTTGACATGCATGTATATATGTGTGTACACATGCATGTGTGTATATATGGAGGCTAGAGAGCAACACTAAGTGTCTTCCTCAATTATTCTCCACCTTGAATTTTTTTAAGATTTATTTTTTTATTTTTATTTTTTGGTCTTTTTGAGACAGGGTCTCCCTGTAGCCCCAGCTGTCCTGGATTCACTATGGAGACCAGGCTGGCCTCGAACTCACAGAGATCCGCCTGCCTCTGCCTCCTGAGTGCTGGGATTAAAGGCATGTGCCACCATGCCCAGCTAAGATTTATTTTTAATTTTTAAAATTATTTCTGCGTGTATGTCTGTGCAGGTGCCCTTAGAAGCCAGAGGATCTCCCAGAAGTAGAGTTACAAGTGGTTATGAGCCATCCAAAGTAGGTTCCCAGAACCCACATGGTAACTGACAACCATCTGTAACTCCAGGTCCAGAGAATCAGACACCTTCTTCTGGTCTTACCAACCATGCACATGGTGCACATTATATACATGCAGGCAAACACCCTCATAAAATAAAAACAAATCTTTTTAACAAGTTTGTTTGGGGTGGGGACTGGGGACATGGCTCGATGGATAAGAAGAGTTGCTTCTCAAGGGTAAGGATCTGAGCTCAAATTCCCAGCACCCACATAAAAAAACCTGGGCAAGGGCATGTGTACCTGTACACACATGTACATATAAATATACAATTCCCCCTATGTTTCTTTTTTTTTTCTTTTGTCAACACCATTTTTGCTACACTATACCTTTTTTGTTTTGTTTTGTTGGCTAAAGTATCCCTGTGGTAGCCCAGGCCTGCCTCCAATTCAGATCCTCCTGCCTCTACCTCCCAAGTGCTGGTATTATAGGTGTGGATCACAACGACTGGCTGGAATATACTTTTCGTAAACCCAGGCATACAAAGAAAGCAATGTATGTATAATAAATACAGTACTTTTTAAGCAACTGTGAATCAAAAAGTATGTAATTTGAGGGGTGGGGATATAGCTCAGAGATAGAGTGCTTGCCTAGTATGCATGGAGTTCCTGGGGACACCAACAGAGTAAAATTTCAGAAAGTAATAAAAATGTCGATTAATATAAATTTTAAGATATTGTCTCTGTAACTTATCCCTAATTCAGTTTCTCTGTATTATCTTCCTTTGAGTACCCTAAATTCTGAGAGAAGTTAATGATATAGTTACTGGCTTTATGAGACAGTAATGAAAAAACTCATAGAATGAGACTGATTTAGGAAAGAAGCACAAATAAGCTGTTAAAATGCTTCATACCTGGGGCTGGGAATGTATTAGAGCTTAGTTAGTAGAGTGCTTGCCTAATGTGCACAAAAGCAATTGATCTCTAGCACCTCATAAACCAGGTATGATGGAATATATCTGTAATCCTAGAACTTGAGAGCTAGAGGCAGGAGGATTGCCCCAAATTTGAGCCCAGTCTGATCTACATAGTGAGTTTCAGGATTATATAGAAAAATCAAAAAATAAAATTAAAACTTTTAAAAACTAAAAAAAAATTACATAAGAAGTTTTTAACTATCCATTGATAATCAGTTCATTAAAAACTAAAAAAAAATTACATAAGAAGTTTTTAACTATCCATTGATAATCAGTTCATAGAGCATCAGATTCTCCCTCTTCACTTACCTTTTTCGAGCTGTACACAATGTGGCACAATATGCATTTTCGTTCTCTTACCATAGTGATCAGATCTGAAGCACTCAACAAACCTGCAATGAGAAAGTAACATTTAGTAACCTTTCCTTCCTCCCTGATTTTGTTTTTTTTTGGGGGGGGGTTCTTTTTGAGACAGGGTCTCCCTATAGCCCCAGCTGTCCTGGAACTCTTCAAGTAGACCAGGCTGTCCTGGAACTCACAGAGATCTGCCTGCCTCTGCCTCCCCTGGGATTAAAGGCATGTGCCACCATGCTGGCTTCCCTTGATACCCTTTTAAATTCACCTTAAAATAGCCAAAATTACATCTTCCTTTCTTCCACCTGTTCCTCCCCTGGTCTTTGCATCTCAATAAATGGAAATTCCAACTTTCTAGGCAACTATGTCAAAACTTTTGACTGCCATCTTGATGCCCCTTCTCACCCCACATCCACCACCAAGTGTTCAGTTCTATCTTGAAATATACCCAACTTCTAAGCACTTCTACCTAGGCACACCTGACACCTATCACATCAGCCTCTGCCTTGACTCTCTCATTCTTACTCACTTGTTCTTTTCTCAAAACTATAGCCAAAGATTTTTGAAAAGGATTAGTTTAAAATTCAAGTTAGGTCATGTTATTTCTTTCCTTAGAAACTTTCCAATGGCTTCCCAATTCACAGAAAATTCTAAGTCCATGCCAAGTCTACCAATGTGTTTCTCCAGCTCTCTCAGACCTCATCCCTGACCACTTCCCTTGTATGGTTCTGTTATAGTCATAATGCCTACATTGCTGTTTCTTGATCACATCAGGCATCTGTTGATAATTTCACCTTAGAGTTTCTACATTTCCCATTCTCTCTGCTTGGAACAGTCTTCAAGACACTTATGGTTTTCATGGCTTACTCTCATTTCTATCAGGTATCTAAAAAATGGTGCCTCACTGAGGAAGCCTTCCCTGAGCCCTGTATAATACTGCATTCTGTCCTTCCTCTCAATCTTCTAGTTTCCTGTTAACCTGAGCTTGCTTCATAGCAATGAGCTGATCACATTTCTACAAAATGGCTAAACAATACCTATCCTATGTGCTCTTTTGTAATGTAGTCTTATCACCACCCACTGAAGAGGTAGCTCACTTTCCTTCTCTGTGGATGATTTTGATAAAATGTGGTGAAAGTAATGCTGTGTAATTTCTGAGGTGGAGTCTTCAGAGACACAGCTTCTGCCTTCACCCACTGTTACACTCCCTCTTGGAACCCAAAGACAGACAGAGGCCAAGTGGAGAACAACTGAGGTTCAAATGAATGTCAAAACAGCAATCAGAACCATCATGGGACAGCTGTGAGAGTGAGCCATCTTGGGGTTTTCAGGTCTAGCCACCATTCCAAGCAAGAGCAATCAGAACCAGCCAGATAAGCCCTTTTCAATTCACAGAACTGGAAAACAAAAGTTGTTTTAAAATCAGTAAATTTTGACTTATGTAGTAAAAAGACATAACTGAAATGAGCACCTTTTAGTATCTGGCATGGCAAATATTTATTTTTTCTTACATCTGTATTACATCTCTTTACTTTTGCACACGTGTACATATGCTGTATGTGTGGAGGTCTGAGGCCAACCCTAGGAGTAAGTCCTCTCTGTCTACCATATGGATCCTGGGGATAACTCAGCTCATCCGTTAGGTTTGGTGGTAAGCACCTTTACCCAATGAGCCATCTCTCTAGACCAAAACATTTACTATGTTCCCCCAATTAAATCTTAAATTTCTCATTTGGGATTTCAGAGTTGGGCGTGTGGTGCATGCCTTTAATCCCAGCACCTGGGAGGCAGAAGAGGCAGATATCTGTTGAGGACAGCCTGGCCTAGATAGCAAATTCCAGGCCAGTCATAATGAGACTCTGTCTCAAAACAAAACAAAATAACCCTTAGGTACATTATAAGCAATCTATAAGTATTTGTTGAATTATTCTAAGTCAAACTATGTTTGGTTATTAGTTGTGAGACTGAGACAGCTTGGCGAACACTAAGGTTTAGAGCAAGACACAAAGGCTTTCTATGGTAAAATCCTCTAAGTACTAGCAAATTTTGACTTCCATGCTCTATAGAGATTTGAAAACCCAGGTCTCCAAGAAGCATTCTTTATCTTTCCATACAACATTGGGTTCTAACAAACACCTGCCTCCTCTCTTGGGATTTGTTCTTTAGATTTAAAAACCCTGACATAATGAAATTATACACTAGCCTAACTCATTCCTTGGCAATATGGCAAAGGGGCCAATGAAAGATGCTTAAAGTTCTCTGTGTCGCAGTGGTCCAGCATTTTCTTATTATTGTAACAAACTTCAAGAATACTACCTAGTGCCTAAAGTAATTAAAGAGTAAAATCTAGCTGGTTATGGAAGGTACATGTCTGTAATCACAGAACTCAGGAAGTTATAGGAAGATCATGAGTCTGAGGTCAGTCCTGGCTATATAGGGAGTTCAAGGTTAGTCTGGACTACATACTGACACTCTCCCTCAAGAAATCAAATCAAATCAAATCATCAAATCAAACCAAACCAAATGACCAAAGCAAAAGACACTGATGACAGAGCCCCAATTCCAAAATGAGATCACAGGATAAAAATCTGGACATTTATAACAATTAGCTAAAAAAACAAAACAACTCTGTATGTTAATGGATAGAAACAAGACTATCTTTTAGTATTACTAATTATCTCTTTTTTTCTTGCTGCAAAGTAGCTGAGACTGGCCTTGAACTCCTGATCTTTTTACCTCACAAGTGCTGGGATTATAGGTATGCTCTGCTGTGTCTGGACTTCAAAACTACTAATCATTTCTTAAATCTCTGAATTAGCAAGTTATACTGATGTTATATCTTAACATTTACTTCTAGTTTACTACTTACATCAATTTTATCCAAAGCATGTACTGAACACCCAGCTCTATTCTAATAGCTGGGGAAAGCAGTGAAGATATGTCTAGAAATAGTTTGAATTCTGTTTTAAGCCACTAACCAAAGCAAAACAGAAACAAAAAATACTTAGAAGTAATAAAATCAATGAAAACAAAACTGACTTTAGGGTAGTTATTGTGAAATTTTTATGTTTTACTCAGTTGAGAACCTGAAAATTAAAATACAAACTGTATTTAACAAGGCCAAAGGTGTCAACTTCTAGCAAATGAATCAAAACTTAAAGCAATAGGGCCTGGGGTGTGGCTTAGTGACACAGTGTGCACTTAGCATGTATAAGCCCCTATACACTCAATCCCTAGCATAAAAGTGAAAGTAAGTCTTATAATGAAAATACTCTAAGCTGTAGAAGCACACCTTTAACCCCAACACTCGTGAGGTAGAGGTAGGTGGATCTCTGTAAGACCAAGGCCAACGCAGTCTACATAGCAAGCTCTGGGCCAGCTGGGACTAAAGGGAGACCCTGTCTCAAAAAGCCAAACCAAAACAAAACTCTATACATCCAACTTTTTTTATGTGTATGAGTGTTTTGCCTACATGTATATAAGTGCATTTTGTTCATGCAATGCCCACAGAGGCCAGAAGAGGGCATCAGATTCCCTGGAACTGGAGTTATGGATGGTGGTTAGCTGCCATGTGGGTACTGAGAACTGAACCTGAGTCCTCTGCAAGAGCAGACAATGCTCTTAACCACTGAGTCATCTCTCCAACCCCCACATCCTATTTTTCCTTCCACTGATTCCACATTTCTTTTGGGGATCAAAACACAAAACAATGTTAAGATGTATGGCAATCGATCAATCCTGAACCTTGATGTTCATTTGTAGTAAAACCTGACTTTCTCAGAAATGACAAATTGATGTTTCTAATTTGCATGTATTAGGCATATTCATTTTAACTTTCTCAAAAAATGAAAACAATTCAGGCATGGTGGTGCAGGCCTTTAGTCCCAGAATTCCCACACCCTCTGATTGGGAGGCAGAGGCAGGTCAATCTCTGTGAGTTCCAGGCCAGCCAGGACTACATAGTAAGATCCTGTCTCAAAAAACTTAACAACAACAAGAACAGACAACAATATCAAACAAACAAAAAAGGTGGGGGTAGTGGTGGCAGCAGCTGGAGAGATGCCTCAGTGTTTAAGAGTACTAGCTGTTCTTCCAATGGACCTTAGTTTGGTTCCCAGAACCCACATGGTGGCTAACAACCATTTGTAACTCTAGTTCCAGGGGATCTGACATCCTCTTCTGACTTCCATGGACATCACATGCATGTGGTGCACTTACATACAAGCAGGCAAAACACACATCATATACATAAAATAAATAAATTTTAAAGAAAGAAAACACATAACTGCTAGCAGTGTTCCATTTGTAACACTAAACTTCACATATAAACTTAGATGATATGATTCCAGACAAAAACAAAGGAATTTGTGAATTATCAAACATGGTAAATAAATAATTCAATTAAGCTTTAGCACATAGTCTTCTCCTTAAAGGCATTAACAGAGATTAGAAACCAAGAAAATACAAACCATCACACTCTGTAATCTCAATCAAAGTAACTGAGAGGTTACACAAGTAAATAAGCAATTCATCTACTACTATCCCCACTTTACATTTCTTTTGCATAGCAATTAAATATACACATCATAAAAATTTCCAACTTTTCTTCAAATAAATATGAGAAATATCTGTGACATTTCTTAGACTCAATTTCTTTCTTCTTTTTTTGGTCTTTTTGAGACAGGGTCTCCCCATAGCCCCAGCTGTCCTGGAACTCACTACGTAGACCAGGCTGGCCTTGAACTCACAGAGATCTTCCTGCCTCTGCCTCCCGAGTGCTGGGATTAAAGGCGTGTGCCACAATGCCCAGCCCATAAAAACTTTGTAATAGGGCTGGAGAGATGGCAAAGGGGTTAAGAACACTGGTTGTTCTTGCAGAAGAGCCGGGTTTGAATCCCAGCATCCACATGGCATCTAACAACTATCTATAACTCCAGTCCCAGGGGATCCGACAGCCTCTTCTGACCTCCACAGGCATTGCACGACATGGGTGCGCTTACCTACATGCAGACAATAGACAAATACACATAAAATAAAA